GTACCAAATCTCACATAAATATAAACTCTTTAATATGCCACTTCTTAGGAAATGTTTTTACTTCTCTATGTAATCTCAAATTTTCTTCAGTCCACTTCATTTGCAGAAACTAGGTGGAAGAAGTTTGCAGTTTGGGAATAATACAACATTTTACAGTTTATTTTTTTAATCCTCATGCGAGGATATTTTTTTCTTCTTTTAATTAAAGAGGAAGGGAGAGGGAGCAATAGAAACATCGATGAGAGAGAATATATCGATTGGCCACCTCCTGTACAGCCCCTACTGGGGATCTGACCCACAACCTGGGCATGTGCCCTGACTGGGAATTGAACTGGTGACCAGTTGGTGCATTGGTCGAGGTTCAACCATCGAACCACACCAGCTGGGCAGCCAAGTATATTTTTCCATTTATCTTCAGATAGAGTGGTTGCCTCCCACATGACCCTGACCAGGGCTGGGACTGAGCCGCAACCTGGATACGTGCCCTTGACTGGAATCAAACCCGTGGCTCTTTGGTCCGCAGGCCGGCGCTCCAACTGCTGAGCCAAACTGGCCAGGGCAGTTTACTCACATTTTAAAGGTAATGGTCTTATCACCCTTCCTGAGAACTAGGGAAGGGTCCTTGGGCTGGAGGAGGGTTGGGCCTTAGAGTGGGAAGAGGGTGGCCGCAGAGAAAGGGATCGAACGGCCATGGACGGGAACACGCTGTACACACGTGTAGACATTAGCTTTCTTTTTATAGATGTTTGGCCTTCGTAATCTCTTCCTGGGCTTTTCGAATTCCCTTCCTTAGTGAGGGTGAGTCGTTACTCGTCATATAGAAACTAAAATGGTGAGATGTTCACTTTTCCGAAAAATTAACCCAGTTCGCTATCTTGCTAAGTTTCTTTTTTTATCCTCACCCGAGGACATTTTTTGCATTTATCTTCAGATAGAGCAGGAGGGAGAGAGGGAGGAAGAGAGAAACATCGATGTGAGAGAGACACATCAAGTGGTTGCCACCCACACGACCCCAACCGGGGCCGGGGACAAAATGCAACCGAGGTACATGCCCTTAGCGGGAACCGAACCCGGGTCTCTCTGGTTCGCAGGCCGATGCACTAACCGCTGAGCCAAACCGGCCAGGGCTTGCTAAGTTTCTAAGACACTTGTCAGGAGAGTGGCATTCTGAGAACTGGAGTAAGAGTTTTGGAAAGATTTGGATGAATCAGTATCCTAAATCCTTTACTCCACTGAGCCTCACTTAAAATGTTGGAAACCCCTTAGATGTTTGCTGCTTTGGTGGACCACCTTCAGGGAGTCAGTTCCCTTGCAAAAAGCAGCCCATCTGCTTTATCCCTACCATCCCTCCTTGTCTTCAGGTCCCAGCATGTTTGGGGGACAAGTACAAAGTGCCTCCTGAAAGAATTCTTTGTACTGATGATTTGTGGAGAACACCTGTAGGAATAGAGTCTGAGTATGTTAGATCTCGAAGGAACATAATTTTAAATTGGATCAAATGATCGATATGGGTACATGTATACCAGTCTGTCAGCTTGAACAACTGGGGGTAGTTCTGTTTACTTGGTTGAACTTTTGATTCAGCAGTGCATCATCTAAATTGAAGTTGAGATGCTAAAAATTCCCTGATACAATATAGAAAAAGGAAATAAAAGACTTTGAAGGGGAAATGGGATCTGATCACCCATGGTCTCTATCCTTCAGAAGAGTCTGCTCTACACTCGACCCAGTCATTGAGAAACACACTGGTGAGGAGAGAGCCAGCACTCTGAAAAGCTTCTCTGTGGCCTTGGCTAATTGACCATGTGATCCAAAGGACCAAAGTGCTCCTATTTGATTTATCTACCTGAAAACTGTATGTCTGACTAGAGCCACTATAGTCAAGATCCCTTATCCCAGCGGTTCTCAACCTGTGGGTCGCAACCCCTTTGGGGGTTGAACCACCCTTTCACAGGGGTCGCCTAAGACATAACAGCAGTAAAATGATAGTTATGAAGTAGCAACAAACGTTTTATGGTTGGGGGCCACCACAACACGAGGAACTGTATTAAAGGGTGGCGGCATTGGGAAGGTGGAGACCACGGCTATATCCATTTCCCGGGCTTGTTTAATTCCCATTGCCAGAACCGTTGAGAAAGGACCCTGCCATAACATCACAAGTTTGTATGAGGTATATTCCTCTTCACTGTCTCCAAAGAAACCTGTGGCCATTTAACAGAGCAGTTATTATGCACCGAGGAAAAGAAATTCCTGGACTTTTTGAAATGACCGAACTTACTCTCATTTCTGCAAACCAGGACATCATGTGTTTATTCATAGTGGAGACCTAAGGAAATCAGGTGATGAATGGCGTTTTAACCACAATCCACCACAGTGGCCCCCAAACTCTCTAGGTTACTTCTCCCGCTTCCTGAGCCAACACTGGTTGCCTGGCTGGAGTAAGAACTGGTTTCTGGTTTACCAGACTTTACTGGAGTGACACAACTGGCTGTTTCAGATCACTGCTGGGGTTATGCCAACTAGGTGCTAATGCAGAATGAGATGGAATCTTAAAACTATTTCTTCTTTAGGCTGATGCAGTACTCTATGTCACCGTTCCAAACTACTTCCTGCCAAATTTTCTTCAGAAAGTCTGCCTATATATGTGAAGTTAATACAGATATATTTTAAATATCAGTAACTTACATATTTGATATCAAATTAGACTCCTGGCATAAAATTCAATTTCATCATTGATCAAAATATGTCATGCTGATAAGCATTTAGCAAAATTTGAGGCTGAATCAACAAAATACACTGAATCAGATGGTCCAAGTACTGACTTGCCTTGGATTTATAGTAATTTTTAATTATACAAACAAAAAAGTAATAACATTTCTATTTGTGCTCAGTTTTAAAAATGTCTTTATTGTTGAAAGTATTAGCTGTCCCCAGGCCTCCGCCTGTCTACTGTGTGTCTGCGGGCTATGCATGTATGCATGTAAGGTCTTGGATTAATCTCTTCCCGCCCTTTCCCACCTTCCCTCTGAGAGCTGTCAGTCTGTTCCCTGCTTCCGTATCTCTGGATCTTTGTTAGTCATTTTATTTTGTTCATTAGATTCCACAAATACGTGAAATCATGTGATACTTGTCTTTCTTTGACTGGCTTATTTCATTTAGCATAATACTCTCCAGGTCCCTCCATGCTGTCTCAAAGGGTAAGACACCCTCTCCCCACCACTTTTTAAAATACAGCTGTATAGTACTCCATTGTGTAAATGTACAACTTTTTCATCCACTCATCTGTTGATGGGCACTTGGGCTGTTTCCAGATCTTAGTTATTGTAAATAGTGCTGCTATGAACACAGGGGTGCATATATTCTTCCTGATTCCTAGAAGTGGGATCACTGGGTCAAATGGCAGTTCCATTTTTAACTTTTTGAGGAAACACCATATCGTTTTCCATGGTGGCTGCACCAGTCTGCACTCCCACCAGCAGGGTACTAGAGTCCCCTTTTCTCCACACCCTCGCCAGCACTTGATGATTTGTTGACAGTAGCCATTCTGGCAGGTGTGAGGTGATACCTCCTTGTTTTAATTAGTTTAATTTTAATTGGCAAGAATTCGTTTTATTATGGTCATAATAGAAACGCACTTACACTTCACATAATCCTTTATTTTACCAAAATGCATGATTCCATTAATTTAAGGGAAAATATCCTCCTAGGACTATGCTGTAAAAACACAAAGATTTTATTTCTGCTAAATGAATAATACGTGTTGATGGTAGCAGCCCTTACTCCCTGGATTTTTGTGTATGTCACTGGCTTTTTTCTTATGTAGTGTATTAAAACCTTCAGTTATAGCCTGGCCGGTGTGGCACAGTGGTTGAGCATCAACCCATGCACCAAGAGGTCACCAGTTCAATTCCCGGTCAGAGCACATGCCCAGGTTGTGGGCCAAATCTCCAGTGGGGGGCATCAGAAGGCGGCCAATCGATGTTCTCTCTCATCAATGTTTCTCTCTCTCTCTCTCTCCTCTCTCTCCAAAATCAATTTTAAAAAAGAAAAAAAAAAATTAAAACCTTCAATTATAACTCTCCCTCCATCTTCCAAGCTTAATGCTAGTAAAAAGTTACTTCCTCTAACAAATACTTCAGGGTAAATATGGATTAAATCCTTGAGACGGAAACCTAAACTCTGCATTAAATCCTTTCACCAGAACTGTTAATATTCAAATGAAACAAGAACAGTATTTATTAATGGAAACAAGGTCTTTGTTTCAACTAATTTTCATAATTATGTTAGCCTGGGCTATTTATACAAAAAAAAAAAAAAAAAAAAATCGGCACATACACACAGCAAAACAACAAACAAAACCTCACTAAAATAAAAACAAAAACCATCCCCAAACGAACAAGCCTCACTCTTAGGTTCATAAAGTGGCAAGTTTTACACCTGGGGCAGCACAACCAAGCGAATGACTTACACGTGCATTAACGAGGCACTGAGATCACCCGATTTGTTTAATTTATAACAAAGTCTCTTGAGAATTTCAGTGCTTGTGAACAATTATAATTACAGCAATGGTCCCAATTTACTTTGACAAACTCTTACTCTGAAGTTTAGTTTTAGAAGAAAAATGTATTTCTATCAGGCAAGTCTTTAATTTCTCAAAAACTAGAAATTAAAAGATCAATGTGGGGAGAGGTGTGGCTTCTTAAAATCTTTTTAAGTCTGTAGTTGTGAAATGTATCAGTGCCGTGAAAGGACATCCTTTTCTGTCCAGCATCAGTCTCAGCAGAGATGTGTAAGACAGTGAAGAATGGCTTCGGGGGCATACATAAATTCCAAACACTTCGCGTGTGAGAATTTTCCGAGTTATTAAACAGTAGGTGATCTCAGTCACAAATGTGGCTTCATATGAAACGTTTTCATTACCATTTTAAGTTTTCTTTAAAATACGAAAAACTTGGAAAGCAAAACTCCCAAACCAGTTAAGTTAGAAACTGCTAATTTTCTGAAAGAAAACAGCACTGTTTTTTATTTTTACACCACTGAATTGAAAGAATAAAAAAAGAACTACAGGTGGAACAGAGACCATTAGGCAGGCCTTCGATACAGGCATCTGGGAATCAACTCCCCTGCATTTACCATCTTCTGCAACTGCCGGCTTCTGCTTTGTCCTTCTCCGACATTTCCACCCGGTCAGCTACTGTTTCTTCCGACGCGGCCTGCACATGGCCCTCCGTTTGTCCTCCAGTGTAGGTGGGGGTGCTGTACTTTAAAAGGATAGACTTAAACTGCACCAGAGGTGCATCTGTACGAACACCCATTGGGTCAAAATGAGTTCGGCTTACTCGAAAGCCTGCTTGAGAAAGATAGCACAGAAACTTTTTTAACCTGCAGCAAGGAAAGGGAAAAAATGAGGTTGTATTTTTATTTGCATCACAATGTCATTAAAATACAAAACATACATGTTGCCATTCACTGGCTGTCTTACTTCGGCATATTCATCCCTTTAATGCTGTGTCTGTGGACGTTGTAATAAAAGGGAGGATGTTCAGTACTGACATCAGTCTTTTGCTTCTTGGCTAAATTTGTGATTGGTTCACTACCTTTTCTCTTTCCTGAAACACACAAATACACACAAAGTTAACATTCTCTTAAAAATGACAAAGCAGGTACTTTTATAGCTACATGTTATCTCAAGTTTATATCCTCTGACATCATTTCAACCTATCCAATCTTAAGAGAAATCATTGTAAGAATAAAATATTCTTATTTTCACTATCCTTACTGATAATGATTTTATAAAAGTGTTTTTATTTTTTTTTGTTAATCTTTATCCAAGGATATTTTTCCATTGATTATTTTAGATAGAGTGGGAGGGAGAGAGGGGAAGGAAAGAGAGAAACATTGATGTGAGAGAAACATTGATTCCGGAGCCAGGGATCAAACCTGCAACCCAGGTACACGCCCTTGACCAGGAATCGACCCAAGACTCTTTGGTTCAGGGGCTGATGCTCTAACCGCTGGGCCAAATGGCCAGGGCTACTGGATGTCATTTTAATATTTAACTGCTTGCTGAGTCAGAGCTTTACTTTTTAATTAAATTTATTGGGGTGACATTGGTTAATATAATCACACAGGTTTCAGGTGTGGATTTCTATGTTACAAGATATGTATACTGATTGCACTGTGCACCCAACACCCCAAGTCAAATCATCATCCGTCACCAAGAACTTACTCTTTACCTTGTTCAATTTCAAGCCTCAACTCTGTTTTCATCTCCTGTAGAAAGCTATTTATGAGTTCTGGGCCACTCACCTCACAGACTTCATTACAGTCAATACTATACTAAGTCTGATTAAGTTCCGTCTTTTTTCTTTTATTGTTTCACATAGAAGTCTTTTATATGTGTAGATCATTATTTCCCAGATTGTATTCTAAGTTCCTGGGGATAATGTTCTTCCATTTTTATACTTGTACTTTCTACCAAATGCCAATATCTGATAAATAGTAGGTCTTCAATGAGCACAAAACCTGGCCAAGGTTACACAACAAACAACACAAAGAAGTAGAATGATGCTCTTAAATCTAATGCTCAGTCCAATATACCATACTGCCTTTTTCTTACCTCTGACAGAGAAATTAAGTAGAATAAATCATCCTAAAGTGATATGAATGTTAGCAAATTAGCTGAAGGTGCTAAATGAACATGACTGTTAGAGCATACAAGTGTTGAAACCACATGCTATTAATAGGAATTGTTTTCTTTGAAGAGCAATACTAAAATGTTGACCAACTAATACAATTACAGTTTGTAACTTTAATCCTCTGCGCTTTCTTTTTTTTTCTTATCCTCACCCGAGGACATTTTTCCATTTTTTGTTCAGATAGAGCGGGAGGGAGAGAGAGGAAGAGAGAGAAAGAGAAACATCGATGTGAAGGGACACATTGAGTGGCTGCCACCCGCACGACCAACCAGGGCCGGGGACAAACTGCAACCGAGGTACGTGCCCTTAGCGGGAACCGAACGCGGGTCTCTCTGGACCGCAGGCCGACACTCCAACCGCTGAGCCAAACCGGCCAGGGCATCCTCTGCGCTTTCAACCTTAACACTATATTCTTTCTTTCACCTGTATTCAAAACACATTTAGAATCTAAAGTTGTCTTTTTAAACGCAAAACAAAACCTTAGACACTAAGGCACTGACATTATAAATCTTAATACCCTTTTGCTATGAATTTGCAATGCCTATACAACCATATTTGAAAGTATGCACACATCCTAAATTATAAGAAAGGCCATATATAAATTCGTATGGCTAGAGAAAAGGTCTTCTGGTCAATCAATGGAACTGTTATACATCATATGTCAAAATCTAATCTTAATCCTATCAAATAGAATTTGATCATATTTTGGTCCACATGGTACATCAAGATATTATAGTTCTTTCAAAGAGATCATCAAATATTAGAACTGTGAGCAGAGCACATGTTAATAGAGTACATGTGAACTGTGCAAACGCCAGATAAACAAGTTTTACTATATTACGTCAGAATAATAATGATAATAATAATGATAATGCACTCTGAAATAGGCTACCAAAGAAATCTCTTCCTACTCTTCTCTGCCTTTTTGCACTGATGCATACATATGTATATATACATACACACACACACACACACACACATACATACCTTGTACAATGTAATTATCTGTTGTGGTATCATCTGTACTTTTAATAAATAAACCACATTCTTCTAAAATAAAACAAATGGGAATCACAAAATATTTTACAGGATCCTATTAAGTAACAATTCAAAGTTTACATAAAAGCTTATTAAATTATATCCACACTGCTTTTATGAATATACCAATTCTGGTAAAATGGCAAGGATTACATTTTAATTCTTCACAACAGCTGCTGCCTCTAATGACTTAAAAATACTAGGATGTCTAACAGGCCCACCCTCAGACCAGTGGCCAGATAAAAACTACAAAAGCCTATTTATACTAAGGAGAAAACAGGAGAAAAAACTTCGTTTTATTGAGTGGTAAGTGTAAACCCTAGTTTCCACGTCTCAATGGATATCACCAAAAATTCTGGCCATACCACTCTGAGAATTCCCTGAGGTTTCTCTTCCTAGACAGCAGATACAGGGTAATAAAACCACAACAAACATTTAGTACTTTTCAATCTACTAAAATTATTATTTCAGGCCCTGAAATAGAAACCTGAAGAAAACAATGCAATTAAAAATAAAAGTTAATAACCAGATTATGATCAGATTCTTTAGAAGAGATTCAAACCATACTACTTATACTGTTTTTTTTTTTTTTTTTTATCCTCACCCGAGGACATTTTTCCATCTTTTGTTCAGGTAGAGTGGGAGGGAGAGAGAGGAACAGAGAGAGAGAGAGAGAAACATCGATGTGAAAGGAACACATCGAGTGGCTGCTGTGGGAGACATTTTTCATGGCATCCATCTTGTTAAAATCTGCTCTGCCATCACCTTCCCCAAGGCAGGATATCTCTGCCTTCTGCATTTCTTTATCTCTACATTTCTTTAAGTAAAATCTGCTCTGCCATCTCCTGCCCCAAGGCAGGATATCTCTGCTTTATCTCTGCATTTTGAACCATTTACTCAGTCTTTTGTTCCACCCGTGCTTGGGGTGGTTACTCAATAACTATCGCTTGATAACAAATGATCTTGTTTTTCCTGCCCTATATATTGTGTAAATTTCCCCAGAATAAACGAGACTTGATCAGACTCCTGTCTTGTCTCCATTTCTTGTGTCTCTTGTCCCTCCTCATCCTCACTCCCCCTCTAGAGTCCTCGTTTGACCTGCAGGACGGGTCAGGCTGCCACCCACACGACCGACCAGGGCCGGGGACAAACTACAACTGAGGTACATGCCCTTAGTGGGAACCGAACCTGGGTCTCTCTGGACCGCAGGCCGACGCTCTAACCACTGAGCAAAACCGGCCAGGGCTATACTGCTTTTGATTATAACATCAAATAGTTGTTGTTTTTTATCCTCACCTGAGGACATTTTTCTATTTTTTGTTGTTCAGATAGAGCGGGAGAGAGAGAGAGGAAGAGAGAGAGAGAGAGAGAAACATCGATATGAAAGGGACACATCGAGTGGCTGCCACCTGCATGACCCAACCAGGGCTGGGGACAAACTGCAACCGAGGTATGTGCCCTTAGTGGGAACCAAACCTGAGTCTCTGGACCGCAGGCTGACGCTCTAACCACTGAGCAAAACCGGCCAGGGCTAAAAAGAGCATTTTGATAATCAATTTGTAAGCTAGTCAACTAGTGTTCAATTAGTTACCTTGCTTGTTGAGATTTGAAGGTGAATGAACTGAAAACTGACTTTGAGGAGTACACTCTGACTCAAAGATTAATGTCTTTATTAGGGGTTGAATGTCATCTAAACCATGGTGAAGAGATTCAAACAGCATTCTTTTGAGAAATCCAGTACTGAAGAGGGAACTTGACCTAAAAGAAGAAAATAGAATTGGGTTTGAGAGAAATATTTATTGTCTTAAAAAATAAGTCTCCATAATTTAACTGCAACATTAACATAGATAATTATATGATAGATTAAATACTGAAATTAAAAAGAATTTATCATTTAATTCAACATTGTTCATTTTCTATTTCCCCATTTCTTTTTATCATGTCAGTTCTTTAAATTAGTGTTAGTCAAGGAAATCCCATTCACAGTTAAGTCAACAAGAGTTGGACCCCTCATAAGATATATAGCCCTGGGTCACATATAGGTGTGGGGGGTACACCAAAATATAAGCTACAGTGTGTTTACCCCATAAAAACCTATTAAATCTAGACAGGGATATAATATAACTCAGGGATTCCCACAATGTGTATTCCTGAAAGTAACAGTAAATCTTGATTCCATGTGTTTATGGTAAAGATAGATGAGAATTGCATGTGGTGGTGATGTAATTTAAAAATGGTCCAGGGGTGACTCTGATACGTTTCCCATTTAATTTGAGAATCACAGGTATAATGTGCAGAATATGAAATTCCTAGTCAGCTGACCCTGGATTCCTGTCCTGGCCCCACCACTTACTAGCTATGTAATCTCGAATAAATTAGTGCTTTTGAGGCTCATATTCCTCATCATCAAATGGAAAATAAAACCTCTCAGTCTCATGGGAATTAAATGAGATGACATGTATAAAATCTCTAGAACAAACTATATCCTTAATGTAGCTATTATCAGGGTTAGCAAAAATGTGTGGAGAAATATATGATTTTAAGTGTCAAATGAGTGATCCCTGTACGATTTACTAACAGGGAATTTAGAAATAATTTGGGTTGAAGCACTAAGGAGAGACTTCAAAGAGGATGTGGAATTTGAGCTGGAGGTGGGGGAAGAGGAAGAGATTCAGGACGAGAAGGAAGACAGGACTCTGGCTCTGAGTGAGGAAGTCCGAAGGCGTGGTTTAGGGCTCAGTCCCAGGAATGGGAACACCTGAGTTCTTGCCCTGCCTGAGCTGCTACATTTTAGAGGTCAGTTTTAGCCAGCGCTTAAAAACAGTGTCATAATTGTCTCCTCCGTGAAATGAGGGAACTGGGCTAGATGATCTTCCTTCTGGATCCAGAAGCCGTTAAGAAGAATTAATTTCCCCAGTTCTGAGGTGAGTGAGTGGGATGAACATGTAGCAGATGATACAGGTTAGAGAGTACCAGAAGATAAGGCTGGCTAGATCTTTTTTTTTTCCTTTATTGATTTTAGAGAGAGAATAAGGGAGAGAAAGAGAAACAGTGATGAGAGAGAACATCAACTGGCCACCTCCTGCGTGCCGTGTTATAGAATTGTACACCTGAAACCTACATAATTTTATTAACTAATGTAATCCCAATAAATTAAATAAAAAGTAAACAATAATAAATAAAATTAACTAGACATGGAAAAATAAAAACATGAGATAAAGATTTAAAAAAAGGCATCAGCACAAACATATTACCAGTTGGGTTAATAATAGTTTTAGTAGATGAACCTTGACTTTGTACATTAATGAGGTAGAAATCTACAATGATTCTAGTCACAATGTTAGGAATCTCTATTTATTAACGATGCAATAGCACACATGTACACAGATACATTAAAAATTTGCAGTTGAGTCCCATCTAAACAACTTGACCTAAAACAAAAGACACTGACTTACACATGCCCTTTTTAAAATTAATTCCTCGGCTCTGGCCGGTATGCTCAGTGGTTAGAGCGTTGGACCACAGACCAAAGAGTTGTAGGTTCAATTCCAGTCAAGGGCACTTTACCTCGGTTGTGGTTTGATCCCTGGCCCTGGTCAGGGTCATGCAGAAAGCATGTCTCTCTCACATCGATGTCTCTCTGTCTCTGACCCTCCCTCCCATCTGAAAATCAATGGAAAAATATCCTCGGGTGAGGATGAAAAACAAATTATTTCCTCAAAAAACTATTATATTAGTAGACTCTTCTATAAAAAGTTATTGTGATCACTTTATTATTATGATTATTATTATTTCTAATTTATCTTTAATTAATTTATTTTTGGTACGTGCCCCTAGCGGAAACCGAACCCGAGACTCTCTGGTCTGCTGGTCGATGCTCCAACCGCTGAGCCAAACCGGCCAGGGCTTTATTGATTTTAGAAAGCAAGGGAGAGGGAGAGACAGACAGAAATATCGATGAGAGAGAACAACGATTGGCCGCCTCCTGCGTGCCCCACACTGGGGATCAGGCCCACAACCTGGGCATGTGCCCTGACTAGGAATCAAACCGGCGACCTCTTGGTGCCTGGGTCGATGCTCAACCACTGAGCCACACCAGCTGGGCTGTGATCACTTCATAATCACACCCTACAGTTCTATAATCACCAACTAAGAAAAAGAACAATCTCATTCTTACTATTCAGAAATGAATTATCTAGTTTGCAGATCAGCCAGGCTTCTCTTTCATTCCACTGCCTCTTAGCACTGTCACAAACTTGGGGGATAATGGTACAGAAAGATCTGAAAACAGAAAACACCCCAGGTTCGTAGGGGGAGAAGAGTCATAATTCTTTGCCTAGACTTAAAAAAATTCAATCAAAATGTGCTTGTCTTTTGCCACACATCATCAAAAGTCAGCAACCAAATGAACACATAAATCAGTTCCGAGTACAATACGCTTCTGCACACGTACCAGAGAGGCCCCAGCTCTATTGCTGTCTTCCCAGGCATGCTTCCATGGCAGTCACAGGGCAGCTGTCGGTACGGGTTTTCTGTGAAACGATGAGAGAAGTCAAGGCAGAAACGGCAGTGTGCACAGCAGTAACTGTCATATTAACAATTTTCAGCTACTATTACATTGAGAATCTACTATGTGCCAAGTATTGTGCTAAGTATTTTTATAAAATCTCAATTATACAGATCAGAGGATTAAAGCTTGAGAGAGATTATAGAAATCCATGTCAAACAGATTAGAGGCCTAACTTTTAGTACATAAAATAATTTAAGTAGGAGAAAGTCTTACAAAATCCATAAGATATTTATTTTAAAATCAACTGGGGTATGATTTACAGGCAATAAAATGTATACATTGTATGTGAAAAGGTGGATAAATTTTGACAAATATATATACCCATATAACCACTAGCCCATTAAAATAAAGACATTTCTCATATATTAACTTCTGTCAAGGAAACTGGGGACGTGCTTAGTTCCCAAGATGGGACAATATTCCAGTCTGAACTTTTTCAGTTCACCATGGGTCCAAGAATAGTAATTTTAAATCAGACTTCAACTGATTTCCCCCAGCCTATTCCTGGGTAGATCATTGGCTTTCTTGGAAGGGCTAGATCTGCTCAATCACCCTAGATATATCCAGAACCCAGGACTATGGTGGTAGGGACACAGGTCTTCAGCTTCTTGCTATAGCATTGTTATTCAATGCAATTAAATGGCATAATACGCAGTGTGAGATCTTATTTTAGATTTACTTCTGTCACTATTTTTCTTAGGTCTACTTTTCAGTATTATTTAATTCTAAGCCTTAAAGGTTACCATCAATTAGTTTTGTTGAAAACTATGTTCCTCAAACATTATATGAATATATTCAAGAACTCTTCCCTGGAACCATTAAAGAACTAAATTACAAGTACTACAGGGAGTATTATCCAAATGGGGGCGATTCACATTGACGTTTCTGTCAGTTACACCCACTTACCACAGGCAGGCAGCACACATGAATTTGTGTAAGTTTCTTTCTTGATGCACTCTACAAAATTCTCCCATCGTATACATGAACCTATGTCTTTTCCCAAGCCCCTTGCCTAGGATTTCGCAGTACTAGGATAACATCAGTAAATCCCTTCTCTGAGAGGTCAGGGCTATCATTTCAAGTTACCAGTAGCAAAAAAATGAAAGGATAAAGAAAGAAAACTAGTATTTCCATGTCATTGGTACATAGACTATAAAGGCAATTTCAGATGAGGAATTAAAATAATTTGAGACTCCTATTTAAATGCAATGAACACATTTTTATTTCTGCTGTCGTTTAAAGCATTATTAAAATGAGAGCAATGGAATACAAATCAAATCCCAAGGACAGATAAAACGGGAGAGGAGGTAACAAAATGATGATGAGAAATATCAATAAAATTTTAGAAGTGAGAATCAGATACCCAAGGGGATACCTGATGTTTTAGACCAGAGAAAGCTAAAGCCTACGCCTGAAATGGGTAGATGGGTCAAACAAAGCAAGCCCCTGACACTGTGGGACGCTGGAGAGGCCTGGGAATTGAAGATACTGCCTGTCCCTGAAGATGAGAATAGGCTGGTACTGCACACAAGCTTGGTTAAAAAAGTGTAAGTTCAGTCAGGACTCCTGGATATTCTTCTCTAAAACCCAGTCAGGCTCTGTGTCTTCCCCATCCCCAAAGATACTTTAATCTTGGGCGAAGCTGAACCACTGAGGACATGGAACAAGGGCCATCAATCACAGCTTCGGGTGAGGAGATACATGAGAAGAGGGGATTAGAAGACTGGATAAATGGTAAGCCCTTCCAGTCTCCTTCACCACCACGGCTCCCGGAATGCTCAGAGAAAACTGGAAGATTCTTCTCTAGAAAAACTGAACAATTCAAGAGAAAAAATCCATGTATTTATTGGCATGGGGGGCAGGGCGGCCTCCTAATGAAAAGGCAGACTGTGCCTTCCCATTACAGTGAAATCTATCAGTTTATAAGCCCTGCCTGTCCCAAGTGTTTCCAAACAACTTTCAGTGGGGACAACCAAAGACATTTGGGATCTATAATGACAGGGAACAAAATATAATCAAAGGTAGTTATATGGGTAACTATAAAAAGTGTGTGTGTTTTTCTTTTCTTGTCTTATTTGAGAATTCATAAGATTGCTGGATTAGGCCTATACAAATGTAATTAATGTAAGACAAAATTAGCACAGGAGGAAAGAGGAAAATTCTACTAGAGCAAAGCTGCTAAATTTTGCCAGTCTTACCTCATTATTAACCTGAGACAGATTAAGATAAATTGAAGGCATATGTTGTAATCCCTAGAGAAACCATTAAGAAAAAACCAAAAAAATACACAGCTAAAAAAAAAAAAAATCACAGGAATTAATTAAAATAACACACTAAAAATATCTGTTTAACACTAAAGAATGCACCAAAGGAGAAACAAAAAGACATGAAACAAATTAGAAAAGAGCCAACCATTCTCATAATCACATTTCATGTGATGGTCTAAACACTCGTCAAGAGGCAGAAATGACCAGACTAGCTAAAAAGGCAAGATCTAATAAGAGACTCAGATTGAAAGTAAAAAAATGAGAAAATATATGATGCATATAGTAACTACAGGAGTGGTGTTTATATTAAAATCAGATAATATAGGCTTTTGGATAAGAAATACCACAGAGCCTGGCTGGTGTGGCTTAGTGGCTGAGCGTGGACCCATGCACCAAGAGGTCGCCAGTTCGATTCCTGGTCAGGACACATGCCCAGGTTGTGGGTCCAATCCCCAGTGGGGGGCATGCAGGAGGCGGTCAGTTGACATTCTCTGTCATCGATGTTTCTCTCTTTCTCTCTCCCTCTCTCTCTAAAATCAATAAAGAAAAATTACAAAAAAAAAAAGAAATGCTACAGAGATAAATATGGACATTTAATAATGATAAAAGGGCCAATACATGACAAAAACATAACAATCAGGAATCTATCTGAACATTTTTAGAGAGATAAAATAATAGGTAAAAGAAGACAGGTCGAGAATATCTAGCATAGGCATAATAGTACAAAGGTAAGAGAAATTTCAGAATTAAATACATATTTAAGAACCCTTTCTTGAAATAAAAGATTTGAAACTACATGATGAAAGGTACACCACGATCTAGAAACACTGATCCTAGAAGGATATACACAGAGAAAAGTTACTAGATTTCAAAAATAAATACTCCTTTAGGCACAGACAAAATGATCCTGTCACATGAGAGAAGGAACATGAGTTAATATTCAGTAACAGAGGACAGAAGAAGGACTTCTATAAGGCACTCAAAGAAACTCTTTAAACTCAGTACAAAGACCATGAATGGTGAGCTCTGAACATGCATGACCTCAAGGAATATTCTCTCCATGAACCCTCCCCAAGCTGAATTATCTAAGAGATGATCTGCGAAATTATGGCAAAAAGACTGATGATGAGCACTAGATATATTTAATATATAGATTATATTGGCAAAACAGAATATAAATGGTACACATTCTAATAACACAAATGGCATAATGAACAAAGATTAGGAAGGAAAAATGGGGGACTAATTGACCTCATTCATGATACCAAGAAGGCAATATATTATTTAAAACAGATAAATCCAAATTGCAGAAACACACACACACACACACACACACACACACACACACAGTACTATAAAAGTAAATATTAAGAAAAATAACAAACAATAGAATAGATAAACCAGTCTCTAATTTCAAGAAAAAAGACAGAAAGGACAAATATTAAAAAATTTTTAAATAAAGGAGACTTTAACCACAGAAACCAAGGAAATTAAAAGGAATCATTAGCCACTACTTGGCTCAACCTCTATGTAAGTAAATTAGAAAAGCTAGGTTAATAGTGCTAACCCTTGAATGAACAAATAATTCTGATGCTAGTTAAACTGTTCCCAAGCATTGAAAAAAGGAAAAAAGTTCCAAATTCTTTTTGAAGGAAGTTTAAACTGATTCCAAAATCCAACCTAAAAAAGGAAAATTAAGTATTAAAACAAAAATCCTTAAAAACATTGGCAAATAGAATCTATATTAAGAGAATACTTCTTGACAGAATAATTTATTCTAGAAAATCAGACTGGTTCAACATTGAGAAATTTTATTATAATTAATAGATCTAAGGAGAAATACTATATACTCATCTCCACAGATGCTGAAAAAACATGACAAAATTCGACATCTTAATAAAATATAACAAAACAGGAAATGAAGGATAACATGATACATGACTGATATCTCGGACTCACGCTTAAATCAGAAAGCACCAGAGGGAACCAAATAAGGAATGTGACGGGAAGCTCTCCATCCCCACCATCAACGGACATCGTAGCAAAAGTACTTGTACAAATGAAAAGCACACTAGGTTCTTAGGAAGTTTAAAACCACAACAATATCCTCCTTAAATTAATGTGATCAAAATAAAATATCAACTGGTTTATTTACTTTTTGGCTAAAAAAAAGAAAAAGAGCCAGTATCAGGAACACTCTGAACATAGAGCTTTTTTAAAAAAAATTTATTGATTTGAGAGAGAGAAAGGGAGAGAGAAAAGTTGGTGAAAAGTTAAAAGCTTTTCCTCTAAGATCAGGAACAAGATAAGGATTGCGAGACACACACACACACACACACACACACACACGATAGGAACATAGATTGGAGACTTAGGAGACATATTATTCATTGATTTTAGAGAAGGAAGAAGGGGGAGAGAGAGAAACATCAATTTGTTGTTCCGCTTATTTATGTATTCATTGGTTGATCCTTGTACGTGACTTGACCTGGGATAAAACCCACAACATTGGTGTATGGGGACGACCCTCTATCCAAATGAGCAACCTGGCCAGGGCCTGAAAACACACTTCTGAGGAGGGATTTCCTTAACAAATATTAACACTAAAAATCTGTATTCAAAAAAATGTAGCGGTGGGTAAACAGACATCCAAACACTGGAATAGAAAAATCCAGAAACAAACTCAAATGCATGTGGCAATTCAATATAACACAGAGATGATACTCTGAAATCACTGGCAAAGAGGTGGATTCTTCAATGAAATACAACCTACCTTGAATAGGAATGCTCACTCTAACTAGAGACAAAACCCAGAATATATAAAAGTTCTCTTAACTTTAAACTGCATCAAAGATTAAAAAAACAAAGATTTGCCAACACAGTGACAAAATGAGAATATCTGCAATTCATATCATAAGGGTTAAAGTCCAATATATAAAGAGTTATTCAAAATCCATATTAAAAAATGCCAAGGAACTAATAAAACAATGGGCAACTGTGTCTATATCCTAGGGAGGCAAAAATATAAAAAGCTTTATAAGGGCAAAAGCCACATCCTTTTCCTTGGTCCCCAGGCCTGGCATATAGTAGAGGCTCAGTAAATGTTTACTGAATGCACTTTATAACACTGATGGCTTTTATAGTCAGCCAGAAACATGAAAGTTATTTTTATAAAATTAATGAATTGAAACAGCCTGGACAAAGATGTAATCTGACTTATGTTCCTAAAATTAGTGACAGTGGAAACTAAGTTTTTTCTAGATGTTTCCATAAGAGGGGACAGGGCTAGAACGTAAATTGTACAGCACGAGCAAATAACTTAGTCACACAAATGTCTGGTCTGTTGGTGAAAGGAAATACAGTGTAGGAAATAAAGTCAGCACTGTCATCTTTAAAACCAAAGGACCATGTGTATAATTAGGGATGTGATAAAGCCTTCTTCATTGGAGGCTTATACATAAATTAAACACAATATACAGTCAAAAGAAACTTGAATTACCTTCTACCATATTACCATCCTTCTGAAAAATTCTCTCTTCACACCACTGACAATGGATCAGATACTGAATCTTCTTGGCTGTTTCATCCGCAGAAGTAGGTCCCCGCAAAACTCTCACAACAACTAAGACAAAATGTTCCAGAGCAACTGCAAATAGTACTTCTATGCCTTTGTTACATCGAGCTGCAGCTCTGGGGGTAAAAAAAATTAAGTTATTTTGGATGCTTATCATTTTTCTTTGACATTGTATTGATAGTACTAACCTGGACAGTAAATTATGGGTAGGTGAAGAGCAAAAAAGGAAAATACAATTCTGAGTAGCAGTGCTTTTAAAAGGTCATTACTGTAACTTTTACACAGATTGAAATAGGAAATAAAGGATGTTTGCCAGAGTCTTCAGTAACCAGACATTTTCCCTAATGACAGCCTCTCAACAGAACTATATTCTGTGGTTTTCAATGTCGCTTTCTTCCTTGTCTTCACCTCCGCCTTTCTTCCTTTTTACCTGTTTTTTTCCTACAAGAGCTTTTCCAAACAATGTTTACTGAGTACTAACTACACGCAGGGTAGTGTGCTAGCTGCTGAACAGTCAGTGAAAAGGGAACAGGCAAGTCCTTGCCGCTATTAATTTTACAGACTTTTGGATTAAATTCTACCTGATGCACCATTTATGTATTTAGTTTTCCCTCTGCAGTTAGACATTAAACTCAGCTCGTATGTATTAACTTGAATTTGTTAGTGTTATAGACACTTTTAAGTAGCTCCTTGGCATATATAAACTGAACATCAGAGTTTTCAGTCAGTCAGGAATACTGCTTAAGGTCGATGAAGTCTAATACTCTGTGCTGAGGTAGGACTTCGATCTAACTGCTGTGAAACTAGTGCTGAGGCCAGGGGGTGAGCCGGCGGATCACCCATTACCTAGACTCTCACTGTCCATCTCTACAGCATAAAATTCTGAATAAAATGGGTGCTCAAAAAAAACAAACAAACAAAAAAGGTCCTTTCTTCAATTGTTTAGAAATCCTGATGAGAAAGAAAACTTTTTTGTAGGCAAGATCATTTTTCAGAATCAAGTTAATAAGCCATCGCCCTGGCCGGTTTGACTCGGCGTAGCACGCCAGCCCTCGGACCAAGGAGTCGTGGGTTTGCATTCCGCACCTCGGCCCTGGTCGGGTGGTGCGGGAGGCAACCAGTGGATGTTTCTCTCTCCCCCTTCCCACTCTATCTGAAGATATTTGAAAAAATATCCTCGGGTGAGGATTAAAAAAAATAATAAGTCATCATTTTACAAATTATTTGTTTACATAAAGATTAGATTGAATGAACATAAAACAATGACTAAATCTAAGAACCACCTTTGCCTTCCCTTCTCATTACGCCATCTTCTCATCTACTCTACATTGTTAAAATAACTGAAATAAATTAACTCGCATCTTTGTCTTTTCTTTCTGTTATTTTAATAACATTTTTAATTGGAGAGTAAACTATTTTAGGCACAAGTTTTCAAATCAAATTTTAAAAGCTACAACATAAAATTACCAAGCATATCAAGACTATAGATATGGAATACAGAATTTGTATTTTGCTCATATTTTTAAAAACAAGACAAGCACTTCTTGAAATGTTTTTATCGTATGCCCAGACATACTAGGTACACTGTTGGCAATTTGGTACCTTGCCACTGCAGCTACCACAATTCTGGCTGCTAGTTCCTTGTAATACTCAGTCCGGACAATGTTACAGCCGTAGTGACGCCGGGCAACATGCTGTGCCTTGGCATATAAAGAACTGATGTCTGTAGAAGTCACCGACACTATGCCAAGGTTTCTTATATTTCTGAACGCAGAATCTAGATAGTTCACTGATGTTCCAAAAGGGTCTAGGTGTCTAAAATCAGAAAGAATACAGACATTTGAAAATCATACTAGTAACCAAAATGATACGATTCTCATTTTTTCTAACAGTAAAATTCCAAGGATTCAAAAGTACTTTACAAATCTATTTTAAATACATAATTCTGTTTAAAGTAATAAAATGACCATATGATATGTAAAAATAAATCAGGATTAGATGAAAATTGTCAAAGGCCAGGCATTTTATTTCAAATGCTGAAAAATGTTCTTATTGCATTCCTTAGGCCAGTGCCAAAAACTAAAAAAAAAAAAAAAAAAATTGTATCAACTGAAATAAAAAGCAACAATAAACTGTCTTAATTTTTAACTCATCCCTCTTCCCCCCCAAAATCCCGATCAGTTTAGAAAGTGACACAGCACATTTTTTTCACTTACATGAAATCAAAAGATCTCAAATGCATCAGTACATTGGCATCCATTTTGGTCACCTTAATATTACCAAGCTTTTCCTCTCCTTCTTCAAGAATATCACCACTCTCTTCTTTTTCCTTACTGTCTACCACCACTTTCAATTTGTTTAAATGGCAGTTTTCCTGAATCAAGGTCACAGAGTTTTCATTCAAGTCATTAATTGTAACCTTGACTGCATTTCCAAGATGTTTTGCCCATTGTAATCCCATTATCCCTTAGGAGAAATGGGAAGGAAAATAACTTTTTAAATTGTAATAACTAAAAAATAAAAATAGTACAATAATAATACAGAATATAATTCTATAAATAATACATTGTTTCAAAATATTAATATTTTCATAAGTAATTCTTTTTCTACTTTCTCACTACAAAGTCTCTAAAAAAAGTAATACAAACAAAATGTCTTGCAGATTTTCATTAATATTTCTTACAAAACTTTTCTATGATCCCTGTTCAAATAAAATCTCTAATTAGTAACAAGAACACCATGAAAGTGTAAATCTCACTGGAAAAATAATTATAAAGTAAAGGTAGTAGACTAGTCACTTATAAAACTAGTAAGAAGGTTAAAAGACAAAAAGTAGTAAACATGACTATGATTATAATAATTAGTTAAGGGATATATATACAAGATAAAGAAGATGTAAAATGTGACAACAAAAACAAAAGGTGGGTTGGGGATAGTAATGTTGAGCTTTATAATGGGATAAAACTTAAGTTGCTATAAACTTAAGACAGATTGCTACAGATAAAGTTTCATGGTAACCACAAAGCAAAAACGTATACTAAATATACAAAAGATAAAGAAAAAGGAATAAAAGCATGCCACTAAAGAAAGTCATCAAACCACAAAGGAAGAGAGCAGGAGATGATGAAAGGAACAAAGAGGAACTACAAAAACAACTAGAAAACAATGAACAAAATGGCAACAAGCACACACCTATCAGTAACTACTTTAAATGTAAATGGACTAAATTCTCCCATCAAAAAACATATAGTGGCTGAATGAATAAAAAAAGCAAAACAAGATCCATCTACATGCTGCCCACAAGAGACTAACTTTAGATGTAAGGACACAGACTGAAAGTGAAGGGATGAAAAAGATATTTCATGCAAATGAAAACCAAAAGAAAGATGGAATAGCCATATCCATATCAGACAAAGTAGACTTTAAAACAAAGACTGTAATAAGAGACAAAAAAGAATATTACATAATCATAAAGGGGTCAATCCAACAAACAGATACAACATTTGTAAATATTCATGCACACAGCATAGGAGCACCTAAATATATAGAGCAAATATTATCAGATCTAAAGGGAGAAACAGACAGCAAAGCACTAACAGGAAACTTTAATACCCTACTTACATCAATAGATAGATCATCCAAACACAATCAGTACGGAAACATGAGTCTTAAATAATACATTAGAGCAGATGGATTTAACAGATAATTACAGGATATTCCATCCAAAAGCAACAGAATACACATTCTTCTCAAGTGCACATGGAATATTTTCCAACATAGATCACAGTTTAGGCCACAAAATGGGTCTTAATAAATTTAAGAGGACTGAAATCATATCAAGTATCTTTTCTGCCACAATGATATGAAACTAGAAATTAATTTCACAAGGAAAAGTAGAAAATTCACCAATATGGGTAGATTAAACAACATACTACTAAAAGACCAATGGGTCAAAGAGGAAATAGAAAGAGAAATAAAAAAATACTTTGAGCCCTGGCTGGTTTGGCTCAGCGTTAGAGTGTTGGTCTGTGGTCCAGAGAGACCGGGATTCGGTTCCTGCTAAGGGCATGTACCTTGGTTGCAGTTTGACCCCGGCCCCGGGTTGGGTCGTGAGGGTGGCAGCTACTCGATGTGTCCCTTTCACGTTGATGTTTCTCTCTTTCTCTCTCTCTCCCTCCCACTCTATATGAACAAAAAATGAAAAAATGTCCTCGGGTGAGGATAAAAAAAAATACTTTAAGACAAATGAAAATGGAAATGTCACATACTAAAATGTATAGGATGAAGCAAAAGGAGTTCTAAGAGGGGAATTCATAGTGATAACTATCTACCACAAGAAACAAGAAAAGTCTCAACCTAACTTTATACTTCAAGGAACTAGAAAAGGAGCAAACAAAGCTCAAATTTAGTAAAGGAAAAGAAATAACAAAGATTACAGGAGAACTAGTGAAATAGAGACTAAAAAGACAATAGAAAAGATCAATAAAACTAGGAGCTGGTTCTTTGAAAAAATAAACAAAACTGATAAGAGTAGACAGACTCACCAAGAAAAAAGTAAAAGGACTCAATATCAGAAATGAAAAAGGGTAAGTTATAACCGATACTAAAGAAATACAAAGGCTCATAAGGGACTACTATGAACAATTATATGCCAACAAATTAGACAACCATAAAGAAATGGATCAATTTCTAGAAACATACAACCTACCAAGACTAAATCATAATGAAACAGAATATCTGAACAGACACACTACAAGTGAGGACATTGAATCAGTAATCTAAAACCTCCCAACAAAAGTCCAGGACCAGACAGTTGGGCATATCTAAACATTTACTATTAAAGAATTATTCTTAACTTTTTTAGGTGTGATAATGGTATCATGGCTTTATTTTTAAGAAGCCCTTATCTTTTAGAGATCTAACTGAAATGTTTACAGATAAAATGACAAATCTGTAATTTGTTTTAAAATAATGGGATGGAGGATGGGGACATGAGGTTTGAGATAAGTGAATGACATAGTTACAAGGCTGAGTGTGAGTTGATAATTTGTGAAGTGAGTGATGGATACAAAGGGATTCATTTATTATACTCTCCACTTTTTTATATATTAGAATTTTTCCAGAATAAAAAAATTTACCTGGATCTTCAATTTTTTATATTAAAATAAAATTTTACATTAAAATATTCTATGCTATCCATATACATTTTCTAAGAGAAGATACTGTACAAATCTAATAAAGCTGAGTTCCCAAAAACATCCTTACTTACCAGTGGCTCCAAAGGCATCTAGACATTCCAAAGGTTTTCGTTCCTCAGCCAGAGCAGCCAAAGTACAGAATATTAGCTGCCTAGAAGAAGGTATAATAATCTAAAATAACTTTTCTCTACCATTGCTTCATCATTATAGATTTATTTTATTTAAGAATAGTGAGGCCCTGGCCAGTTTGGCTCAGCGGTTAGAACGTCGGCCTCGGACCAATGGGTCGTGGGTTCGATTCCGGTCAAGGGCATGAACCTCGGTTGCAATTGGTCCCCGGCCCTGGTTGGGGTCTTGTGGGAGGCAGCCACTTGATGTGAACCTTTCACATCAATGTTTTTCTCTTTCTCTCTCTCCCTCCCACTCTATCTGAACAAAAAAAATGGAAGTGTGTCTTCAGGTAAGGATTTAAAAAAAAAAGAATAGTGAGAACTGGGGTTCCTATGTAGAAAGAGGCCTAATAACATATTCCCTAGTTAACAGTATGAGAACTAGAAATTTGCGAAATTAAACAAAGAATCTAATTGGGTTCTATTAACAAGCATTCATTATGAATAATGATTTTATCCTCACCCGAGGATATTTTTCCATTTTTGTACAGATAGAGTGGGAGGGAGAGAGAGGACGGGAGAGAGAGAGAGAAACATCGACGTGAAGGGACACATCGAGTGGCTGCCACCCGCATGACCAACCAGGGCCGGGGACAAACTGCAACCGAAGTACATGCCCTTAGCGGGAACCGAACCCGGGTCTCTCCGGACCACAGGCCGACGCTCTAACCGCTGAGCCAAACTGGCCAGGGCGAATAATGATATTATAAACACATCTTATAAATGAAAGTTTTATAAGTGAAACTTGCCCACTAAAGCACTATTTGTCAATTATATAAAGTTAGTCTTTGAGAAAGAAACTAGATTGGTAGAAAAAGAGAAGATAATCATTCTAAGAAAATGCTAAAATAGATGATTTTTGTTTTTTAAGACAGAGGGAGAGGGAGAGAGAGAAACATCGATTGGCTGCCTCCTGCACAACCTCTACTGGGGACCGAGCCCGAAACCAGGGCATGTCTTCCAACTGGGAATCAAACTGGTGACATCTTGGTGCATGGGACGATGCTCAACTGAGCCATACAGGCCAGGGCTAAAATAGAAGACTTTCATTCTGTATCTAGTTTTAAATGTCGACACATTAGAACAGTGATTTTCAGCCTGTTTCATCTCATGGCACACATAAACTAATTACTAAAATTCTGGGGCACACCAAAAATAAATTTTTTGCTGATCTGACCTAAAAAAGGTATAATTTTTATTTATTTACACAGGACAGCTATTGTTGTGCAGGCTGTTGTCATTTTTTAATTTGACGATCTATGGGGAAAGGAAGTCAGTGCCCCAGACTAAATACTTAGGTATTGCATGTTTTAAAAGTTCTTGCAGCACACTGGTTGAAAATCGTTGCATCAGAACATAAAGATTAAGCGAGAGTACATTTGGCCCTGGCCGGTTTGGCTCAGTGGTTGGAGTATCGGCCTACGGACCAGAGAGCCCTGGGTCTGGTTCCCGCTAGGGGCCCGTACCAAAAAAAAAAAAAGAGAGAGAAAGTACATTTGTAATGATTTTAAACATTCCATAACCCTTTTCTCAATTTAGCTTACCGATTTAGTTTCATTTTGGGATTAAAATAGGAATCTGTTTTCTGAGGCACAGAATAGTTAGGACAAACTTGTACATCTGTGTCTGCCTCTTTCAAAATTTCATTAGATGGTTTAGCAGCAGAAGCTAAGATGAAAAAAGATTTCCAGTTAAATACAAAATAATTTAAAATATTAAAACAATATACATTAAAAAATAATTTTCCTTTATAATAATGTGTTAATGTAATCAGTTGTGTAGGTGTTAAAAACTGACCTCTTCAGCACTGGAAAAGAGTAGCACTCAGTTAAGTATTTAGTGAATTAAAGGTTATCAGCTTAAAATCATAACTGCCTAGCCCACTAATACATCAATATATAATACCTAATTAGGAACAACAAACCCAAAAACAAACGTACCAAAAGCAAAAAAAAAGAATCAACCTAAGAGAACAGAATCCTAAAATACCTTTATCACTCATCAAATACTATTGTTTACCTAGGCTGGCTGCTAAATATGTAATTGTGGAATAACTGTTAAAAAAGTAGTATCTCTACATGATTACATTTCATTAGCCAACATGGATGACTAAGAATAACTATAGTTCCTGAACATGCTATATTTCAGAACACTTTCTCATAATTCACAAAGTATATTCAGACAGATACAAAGTAAAGAGAAATAAAGATTCTACATTTAATATACATTAGAATCACTTAGCTATACACCCCCATATAACACTGACGTATTTATGCATGTTTCACATATTTAAGAAATGAGACATATAATATGTGTGGGGGAAAATAACTAAGATTATACATATTTGGATTTCTTCTATTACAATCAAAATGTTAACTAAATGGCAACCATACTTCTATTTTTACAATGCCAGCAGTAACCTCTCCTAATGTTGTATTTCCTTCTATACCCACCAAAGTGACACCACATCTCACAAGAACAGCCTTTCTCAAACCAAATTCTGTGAGAAAACCAAAGTTCTACAGAAAGTTATTTCAGGCCTCCTGGCTTAGCACAGGCTGTGTTCTTACACTGACTGCACAGAAAGAGGAGGAGGAGTAAACCCACCTATGTACACCCCATCCCGGGCCCTTTGCCTGGTCTGTATTGTGAATGGAGGGACATGGGAGAGAAAAAAATGAAAATTATTTCAGTGACTATTTTTTTTTCAATTCTTTTAAAGAAAAGTTTTATACTTTTTAAAACTGATTTTAGGGAGAGAAAGGAAGATAGAGAGAGAGAAATATCGATTTGTAATTCCACTTATTTATGCATTTGTTAGTTGTTTCTTTTATGTGCCCTGTCTGGGAATAGAACCCACAATCTTGGCTTATCGAAATGACACTCTAACCAACTGAGCTACTCAGGCAGGGCTTTTTTTTTTTTTCAGTTCTTGAAAGAAAGGCACATAGTATCTTTTTTTTTTAATCCTCACCCAAGGACATTTTTGCATTTATCTTCAGAGAGAGCGGGGGAGAGGGGGGGCATTGATGTGAGAGAGACCCATTGAGTGGTTGCCACCCACACGACCCTAACAGGAGCCAGGGATAAACTGCAATCGAGGTACGTGCCCTTAGCAGGAACCAAATCCAGGACTCTCTGGTCCGCAGGTGGATGCTCTAACCGCTGAGCCAAACCGGCCAGGACAAGGCACATAGTATTCTAGATTTATAGAAATCAATTCTTTACATACAGCGGATGCCTTAGGGCATGAAGGCTTAATAATTCTTGAGAAGGGATGCCTTAGTAATAACTGCTAACTTGACACCACTCAAGATCATAAATGGTCTTTCTGCCATTTTATCTCCTTTTCTAGTGTGTTTCAACAAGTATACCACAGTTATTGGTGTAGGAGTCATCATTAGTAATATAGTCGTATAATCTTAATGAAGATACCTTTATTTACTTGAGCATCAGTTGCTTTTTTCTACCCACTTGTTAAATATATGTGTTTAGTGAGGACAGATCAATGTTGGGAGCCTCACAGAAAGAAAAGGAAACCTGAAGTAAAGCAGTAGTTGGTCAACTAATTGATTTTGTTAAATCACTATCATTTATCTCCCTGATGTCTAGAAAGAATAACTGGATAATTGATTAAGAATTTACTTATTGCCCTGGCCAGTTTGGCTCAGTGGTTAGAGCACTGGCCTGCAGTCCAGAGAGACCCGGGTTCGGTTCCCAATAAGGGCATGTACCTCGGTTGCAGTTTGTCCCCGGCCCTGGTTGGTCGTGCGCGTGGCAGCCACTCAATGTGTCCCTTTCATGTTGATGTTTCTCTCTCTCTCTCTCTCTCTCTCTCTCTCTCTCTCTCTCTCTCCCCCCCCCCCCTCTCCCTCTCTCCCCCTCTCTCTCCCTCCCACTCTATCTGAACAAAAAATGGAAAAATGTCCTTTGGTGAGGATAAAAAAAAGAATTTACTTATTAACATGTTAATGAGACTGCTCAACTTACCAGCAATATATCTGGATTCAGTCTCTCCTTTATTCACGTGGCGCCTAACATGGCCTAGCATATCAGTTCTTCTGGTGATTGTTGCTGAACAAATGATACAATGATAATGGGCGCCCATTTTACTGGATATCTATCAAACAGAGTATTTAATTTAAATACATAAATAAATAAGACAATGAAATAGAAGTTTACTTAAGGTTGCAAATTTACATATGTTAGTGTGTCTTGGGTTTAACGGTATAGAAAATAAATATTAATTTTGCCATGTGACTGAAGGGATCTTTACTTCCTTACCTATATTTACATATGCTTTTTAATTTTACTTTACAGCAGGCTACAACTTTCATTTCTTAGATTTTCCCATTCATTCTAATCAGCAAAGAACTGCATCCTCTTTTCTCTAAGCCGCACTTACGAATGGGATAGTGTCAGCAGAAGGGTGCTGGTGGATGTTTAACTGGCTCTCCAGGAAAAGGGAGTCCTGGTTTGCAGTGTTTATAGCTTTCTATAGTATAAATACTCTACAATTCAAGAAGAAATACTCTATAATTTCAAGCTACAATTGTGTTTCAAGCTACCAATGTGACATCACTGAACATGTATCTGGGAAAAAGTAGCAGTGCCACCATGTAGATATTATATAACTGGAAGAGCACAGATAATAGAAAAATGTACTAGAATAATTAGGAAGTAGTGAGCTTTGAGTATTCACTACCTTTGTTTCAATATAATTTATTCACGTTTAAGTTGATATAATTTAATTTTTAATGATGACTATGTTTAGTAACCAGCTTTCAAGATTTCTGGAGATTTGAGCTAGTTCCAGTACACCAGATGCTAGACATAATAAAAAATCTATTACTCCAAGTGAAAAATACTCACTTTATAATTTCTCATATAGCTGAGGACCAAAAGACTACTCCAATATTCAAGAACACTGCACAGAATTCCTGATGGCACCATGGCTATCATATTCAAAATATCTTGGATAAGGTTCATGGATCAAGCTTTGTCCTGACTACTTCTTAAGAAATGTTTTTGTGTTTTCCCCCCTAGCACTTTACTCCTTTTAGTGATCCAAGAGAAAAATTAATAATGAAGATTCATTAAGCTAATATGTATTCAGGATATATTTTATAATTTTTATTCCCCAAATGTCAAATCTATTCTAAAAATGAACATGTGTACCTTTTACCAAAGATTTCAGAAAGTTGCTTACTCTATCCTTTGACAAATTAAAAGGAAGAGCATAGGGAGGATGATGAGAATGAATCAACACAAAATATTTACTATATCACAGAAACTGAAGGCTCTTATTCCATGATCAAAGTTTATTTTAAAAGAAAACAATTACTTTCTGTTTAAATTCTCCCCTCTAAAATTTGTTAGTTTTCATTTTGAACACAAGACAGTAGTTTATCTGACTAAAATTAAAACTATAAAAAGAATTCAATACAGAAACTTTTTTTCATGAATTTCATATTTTTCCTAATATGGTCATCTGAAAGCACTCTGATACAAAATTTTAAGTAAACCTCATTGCTGATAAGAACTTTTTAGTTTTAAAGCAAGTAAAAATTGCACTTGCTTTAAAGAGGGCTAAATTTCAAAAGAAATCTGACACCTGATTACCTGTTCTCCAATAACGCTTGGTTTCACTGGTCGACAAGGTAAGTGACAGATGCACATTCTGTAACCTAGAATGAAGAATAGCTGGCTGTCATATCGTTGCTTATTAAATATTCTATTTTCATGAAAAAATATTAGCAAATTGAAGAATAACTGAGATTATTCTTATATTTGTAATGTCATAATTAATTTACTAGTATGAAAACTAGTGTAGGTTTGAATTCTGGTTCTGCCAAGACTATCTGTGTTATCTTGATTAGCCACGTTGCTTCTTTGGAACTCCATTTTATCATCTATTCTCTGCCATCTTAACTTTTTCACCTTCTTTGCCTTATGCTACATTTGCCACTACAAAGATTCTTCATTTATGACACTGTTCAAAATGTAGACCCACCCCCCCAGGGACAAGCAGAGTACACAGTATAGACCAGAAGCTTAATAAATGTTTGCCAAACTAAACTATTTGTGTCATATACTGCTAATGCCTAGGGAGAAATATATTTTGTTATTGATAAAGACATTAAAAAGGGGGTATAAATCCCCCATCATTTTATATTTAAAATACTTAAGTTCAGAATAAAATTCCAAAACTGGTATCAAATCTTGAATTTCATTTACATCACTTTTTAGCAAGCACAAAAATACTAACCTTCAAATTCAACTGAGACTTTCCAGTGTAAATTTTGAAGGTGCCGACGAAGCTTATGGCTATTACAGGCTTTGAATTTTTCCTTAGGGCACAATGGGCAAGCCTGTTTGTTTCCTGATAAAGAAAAAAGAACCAATAAAGCACAGAATATACTAGTTATTAATGTTTGGATTCAGCTACAAAAGAAGTAACAGGGGATCCCAGCCCTGTCCCACTTCTTAGATAACATCTTTCTTAACTTTAGGGAGAAGTCATCCCTGTCTCAGCAGGTAGTTAACAATAATTGTTTTAGCACAGGGTCAGTGATTTTTACCCTAAAATTCCCGTCTCTGTGGTTAGCTGCTATCCTTGCTGTCACTGGGAATAAAAAGAATGAGGAATGATAATCTATATATCCCTCCAGCCAAAATGCCCGGCAAAGAGATCACTCTACTTCGCACAGGGGAAAAGGCACCAGCTGTCACAGTCCCAGAGGGGCAGGAACTGGGTGGAAAGTTTAAGTAGCTCTGTGGTATTCTTCTACTCTAGCAGCACCAAAAACAGTGAATACATGCAGTTAGAAAAAAGGAAGAAGGAACTCAAAGCAGTAGAAGGAATTTGATATCATTGCTATTCTGAGACTGGAGGCCATGATTAGAAACACTGTATCCTATTACTGAATTTGTAAAGTCTTCCTTCTTATTAGCATATTCTTTAAAAGATATGGATCATCAAAACAGAAGTCCTATTTAATTAGAAATTTATCTCAAATAAAAACTTTGATAGTGCACAAAAGAATTAAAACCTTAAATTCAGATTTAAAGCAATAAAAATATACAAAAATAATCAACTCACTTAATAAATTTTAATTTAACAAATACCTTTCATATACAGCAAGTACAGACACTATTTTTTTTTAATACTCAGCCTACTTCAAAAAACCATGAGGTGATCTTAAGGATGGAATCCAAGAACTAAGGAAAGCAAATCAGAAAGAGAGGAGCCAGGGGCATTGACAATATTGTGGAACTCTTGTACCAGCCCCAAATTACCTATCTTGGTATTTATTTTACATGAGAATATACGCCTCCATATTATTTAAGGTAATATTTGGGGGGGGGGGTTTGTTACTCAGAGCCAAATGCAATTTCTAACTCACAGAATACATATACCCTTATCTATCCATGATATTGTAATTTCCTTGAGGAGTTGTGAAATAACTAATTCCCACGGCACCTTTGCATATAGATGACTATCAGTTTCCTAAATAAAACGTATGTACTACTGCTCTAGTTCAATGGAATATACAAGTCTACTCCTAGCAAAATTTTCACGAGTTGAAAAATGACAAACCATTAGAAATTAAGAAAAACAAACAAACAAACAAACATGGAAATACCTGCATCAAGAGTATCTGAGTTCAGTGAACTAGCAGAGTCAAAATCTCCTTCAGTTACAAAAGCTAACTTCTCTAGATCAGCAAGCTGTCTCTGAATTGAGATGTGTCTCTCTGAAAGAAAATGTAAGAATTAGAAAATTACGCTTTAACAATTTATATTCCAGTTCCATTTGTATTTATCACTTCACCTAGAGTTTTATAGTTTCATTTCCTGTGGCATAACGCCCTAATACCTAAAAGGGGAATACCGCTGGAACTGTTTATAAAATGACAAGTGTGCCTCAGAATGCAAAAAGTTGGGTGGGGGGAAACTACATTTGTACAACTTCACAGCTTTAAAATATATCTTATTATTCAATATAATTCTACAAAATATTTTTCTATTCTGTACAAAACACTGAATAAACATAAACCATGTTTCCTATCTTCAAAGAACTTTCAATCAGGTAGGAGAGATTACTAACTATAACACAAGGCAGAATGAAATGAATCCTTGGGGTAAATATACTGTGGGTATATTGAGGAAGGGGCAATTAATTCCAACAAGTGCCTCTGAGAATGTTTTCACTTAGAAGTGGCACATTTGACTGAGACTTAAGGTATGAAGAGAATTCAAGAAGTAGAGATTTGGTGGCTGGCCTTCTAAATTTAACTTCATGAACACAGACATGTGGTATAAAAAATACAGCCACTTCTATCCCACCCCTGGCTAGATGGAGTTGGTAGAAAAATATGCAGCCAAAATGTAGTAAAGACCATAAAAGGCATAAATTCTGTGCACGTTAGTTTGGCCTTTTTTCTTTAGGCAATGTTAAGTCTTTGCAGGTTTTTGAGGTATGAATATGATTTGAATGTGCTTCAGGAGGGTATCTCTGGTTGTGGTACCAAGGATCAATAATTAAGGTGAGAAACAGAAGGTACAGGAGACTAGAAGGTTAAAAAAAAAAGGAAACAAAGAATTTGGGATGTGGATGTAAAGTAAGGGTAAAGAGTAAATTCAAGAATGATTCTAAGATTTCGAGTTTATCTGGTTGAGAATAATGGTACTATTAACCAATAAGGAAGAGGAAAGGAAAAAAGGGAATTTAGTTCTTGACCTAGTGTTTGATGTAAAACTGGTATTCATGTAATAAAATCCAGTAGGCAGTTAAATTGTTTTTGGAGCGCAAGAGGGATTCCAAATAGATATAAATCATAAATACGCACGTTATGAAACTATGAATGTGCGTAAGAAAGCCTAAGGAAAAAATGTGAAAAAGAGAAGAAATAAGCCAAAACCTGGTCCCAGTAACACATATTCAGGTTTCTCAAATATTACACACATCCTTCGAATTACATATTTCCAAGTTTTGGAAATGAACATTTACAAAGTGGGAGCCTGAATATACAAGACTAGGAGATAACTGTTAGGAAAAGATAAACCATAGGACTCTCTAATAGTCATTATATAATTAGGTTATACAATTTAGAGCCTTCAGCCTTCCAAATTTTATTCTTGACAATGCTACTGTCCTGCCTAATTCCTCTCTGAGCTTCACTCCCAGTTCCTTTGTTTACCCTTCTGTATAACTGATGTCCTTGCTTGTCTCCGCCACCAATAAGCAGTAAGAAGGCAGGTCTAGTTCATCTTTGTAATATCTAAGTGCCTAATGCAGTAACTTGTACACAGCAGGTACTAACAGTTGTTAAACAATTTTTTTTTTTTCCTTTTTTTCAGACAGAGCGGGAGGGAGAGAGAGAGGAAGAGATAGAAACATCGATGTGAGAGAGACACATCGAGTGGCTGCCACCCACACAACCCCAACTGGGGTCAGGGACATACTGCAACTGAAGTATGTGCCCTTAGCAGGAACCAAACCCGGGACTCTCTGGACCTCAGGCTCACACTCTAACTGCTAAGCTACTGGCCAGGGCGTTTGTTAAATGATTTTTAAAACTCATTAGTCTTTTGCAATTCAGTAGTATAGAGAGTCAGTAGTACAGCGAGTCTCTAATTTTAGAATTCAATTCAGCACTATCAGCCATTCCTTCTCAAATTATTAAAATACTGTTTTTTAACCTTATTTTTAAATGAGACAAACACAGAGCAACACATGTTATTGGTTAACTCAGATATAATTCCTTTAAACAGGCAAAATATTTTCCCATTTTAATTGCAAGGTCAGACAATTCAGGCAATGAATCCATGTGTACAAACCAAACTATGTAATTTGTAATCATAAAGGCTTTTGGCTTCCGTGGTTCAAAGGTCTGTATATGTTGAACAAGATATATAATACTATATAAAGATGCGCTGTCTGAAATCATTCTAACTACTAACTAGTACAAAACAAGAGAAAGGGGCTTGGTAAGTCAGAAGAGAAAATGGAAAATCCTATGGTCCACTACTGAAGAAAACTCCCGAAGACCTGTCCAAAGATTCATGATATGCCTATGAACATCTCTGAAATCACTTTCTGGTTCAAGACAGTAGATATCAGATAACCTGTATTTAAATCTACTCAACCTTTCCTACAACCAGAAGTCAAGAGATAATCTCTTCTTAAATCAGGTGAATCCAGAATGCTAGGTTTGTTTACAACTTGTTATTTTTTCCTCCATTTTCAGTTCTATTTCACATATGTCATCTTCGTCTTGCCTACTTAAGACTGATTTCAAAGAACTAACTAGACCATCTAGAAATAATTTTTAAAATTTGATGAATATATACTTCTAATGCATTTCAGATTTCTCAATCATTACATATTTGTCCCAGCAATGCATTTTCAGGTTTCTCAAACATTGCATTCTTCAGATTACACACCTGTAAATTTTAGAATACGTGAATAAATCTTCCCAAACTGTTTAATGTATTCTTGATGGTGAGGAGGTAGTTGTGGATGAAGAAATAAGTGGTCTTATTTTGCACTGACAAGCTCTGATCTTGTATGATGAGGGCCTACCTGACTTTGTCTTTTCTATGATCAGCTCTACTCTTCAATGTACTATAACAATTATATCTTATTTTAAAATTGCAAAATAATTCTATTAGACTATTACTATTCAAGTGTTTTATAACATTAAGTCACAACTGGCCTACAAGTAGGAAAGATAATGAATTAATTTAAGATATTTTGTTATAATACAGAAAGAGCATAAGAGTCAATTTATGCATCACAAAATAATTTTTTTAAAAAACGTTCTTAGACCTTACATTTAAAAAATGTTCAGAGGATTCTTAAGCAAGTGTTACTCATCCATCTTTTAAAGTCCTTTATGGTACAATAAATCACCACTTAGAAAACATGCAAGCAAATTCAGAAGCACAAACAATAATATGGGCTACAATTGTCAAGTTACTTCTGATGGAATGAAGTACAAAACTCAACTGGCATTTATGTCTGAGGGAAGACATTCATAATTTAGTCTACTATTAAACTACTCGTCACCCTCAAATTATTTTTGGAAGCAAGCTGCTCTAGAAAACGAAATAATGAGAAAAATCCATCTTTTTGTGTATGTCGAGTCATAAAAGCTAGTGGAGAGCAATGGTTTCTAAATCTTGGCAGCCAGGATCTACCCCAGTAAACACAGGTTACCTCGGTTACTTTATCACATTTTTAAGGACTTCGTGATGAAGCTGAGGGAAACTACCAGATAGGTATAACTTCCTACTTTCGTACCGGAAAAATACCCCCTTTAACGAAGAGGCCCTCAAACTCATTTTGCAGCACCCCTGGCCTCCCCATAACCTTCATCGCAATGTCGAGGTGTGTGGACAAGCCTGCTCCCGTTCTGTGCGGGCTTGCCGCGCTACACGGGTCCCCCCTTCCTCCCCCGCTCCCCGAAACCGGCCTGTCCCCATACAAGCCACCCCAGTGAAGAAAGGCCTCCCCAGCAAGACGCACTTTCTTGCTTCTCCTGCAGCAGAAAGAGCCGGGCCTCCTGCACTTACTGCTTTCAGCCTCGTCTGGGGCAGAGGCTAGGGACGGGGACAGGGCCGAAGCCTGAGCCAGGGCAGGGGCTAGGGCTGGCGCCGAGGCCGGAGTCGGAACCGAGTCCGGGGCCGGAGCTGGGACCCGAGCCGAGTCCGGGGCCGAGGTCGGGGCCGGGGCCTGGGCCACCTCCTCCTTCTTCAGGGGCAGCAGCTCCTCCTCCGCCATATTCTCCATAGTTACCACCTCCGTGCCTGACCCGCCCGGGGACCAGGAGGAGCTCGTGGCGGGGTCAGAGAACTGGCGTGAATGCACAGAGGGCTGGATCCGAGAACTGGGAAAGCAAGTGGGGACGGCGGGATGCGTGCAACAGACAAAAGATTAAGAACCAGTGACCAATGCCTGTCAGCAGAAAAATTAAAAGCCGGAGGCAGCGATTCACAGTCCCATCCGCTTCCTTTACCCAGAGGCGTTACGACGCCACCACCACACTGCGCAGAAGCGAACTGGGAACAGCGACCAATGAAGTCAGAGAGTTCTGTTTCCACTGTGTGTCTCCGTTCCAGCAGTCCACCACCAACCCGAGCCGAGACTACAATACCCAGGGTGCACCGCGCCCACGGGGGCGGGGCCGGAGTTCCAAGTCAGGAGAGAGTGAACGCCCCGCCCCGGAGTGGTAATATGGATCCGAGTGCAGAACTACATTTCCCAGCGGACCTCGGGTTCAGAGGTCTCCTACCCTCCGCCGGGTCTCCGGAGTCGCCACAGCCGCCGGCGCTGGTAAGGTGGAAACCGGGGCGTTCGTTGACGTATTGCTGGGCAGGCTCCTTTGGTTCCTACGGGACCCTGGCGGCAGCCGGCCGGCCTGGAGATTCAGGGGACCACTCGAGCCTGGGGCGGGCGACTCTGTGGGCGGATCCGGGGTCGAGCCCTCTCGGCGAAGGGTGTGGTTCTGGCCCGGCCCTGCCTGTGGGGCTGCCCTTCGCTCCGCGGAGAGTCTGGTCAGTGTCCGCGGAGCAGGTGGGTCCCCGCCCGCGGCGTGCGAGCCGCGACGTGCGTGCCTGTCAGTCCGGCTGATGAGAGCTGTGGCCCTTCCTCGTTTCGCACCCGTGTCACCCACACTGTGACCGAACACTCTGCTCCTTTTGTTTTGACCTTTGCCTAAGTCTGCCTGTCCCGTTTCTCCAGCGCTGCGCCCTGCTGGTCAGCGTCCAGTGGGTTGGGCCCCACAGGGCCCCACCCCCACCCCCACCCCCACCCCCACCCCCGCGCGCTTGTGTCTAGGCTTTTAATAACCAGAACTCTGCGTGTGCTGAGCTTCGGGGCACTTGATTGATGCAATTCAGGTTCCCTAAGGCATATGGCAGCGAGTCCCCAGCCGCCCGTAGAGCTTCTCTTGCTTTATCCTGGGCCTGCGTGAGTTTTAGCCGCGCGCGTTGGAGCCCGCGGGGCCAGGCGGGGAAAACCTGTTTCTCGGCTCTTCTGCCCGGGAACGTTATAGGCAACAGGACAGAAGCCTCTTTTCGTCTCAGGTGCAAGACAGTTAAAAATGGGATAACAACACATATTATAACATAGGAATGAGTAGTGGCCAACCTATGTTTGTCCATTATCCAAGAATCATCGAAAGACTAGATAGATGGTTAGCTGAAAGCTTGATTCAGTCTGTCAATCTTACTGAATACCAGCTGGGAAACAGGACGAGGGGTCGAGTGCGGTGTGTGCACGGACTGGGAATTTTAGTAAGAATTCCTACCATAGTTCGTGCTCTTGAGACATCCTAAAGAAGGAATCTTCCGAGTTTGAAGAATTGTATTGTGAGTGTGTTACTAATCTATTGCTGCCTAAATTATCCCAAAGCTTAGTGGCTTAAAAACGATAAACATTTATTCCCCCCCCCCCCCCCCCGTTTCATTGGATCAGGAATTCGGAAATGGCTTTTTGGGTGTATTTAGCTCGGGGTCTCTCATGAGGTGGTGAGGATACCTGGCAAGGATGCTGCCCTGTGAAGGCTTGATTAGTGCCTCAGATCGGCTTCCAAGGTGGCTCGCTCACATTCCTGGCACTTGGTTGGTTGTTGACAAGAGGCTGCAGTTCTTCCCTGGTGCACATCTCTGTGGGCTACTTGAAGGTCCTCATGACCTGGTGGCCGGATTTCTCCAGAATGAACAGTTCAGCACAGAGAAAGGCAGAAGCCACACTGTTTTATATGACCCAGCTACATACCGCCATATAGCAATACCTTGTGGGAAACACAAGTCAGCCCTGTTCATTGTGAGAGGGGAGGACTACATAAGAGTGTGATTACCAGACGGCAGAGATCATCAGGGACCATTTTGGAGGCTGGCAGCACTGGGGTTCTCCTCTCATTTAGTTTATATTTTGTTTTTCATAAAATGAATATGAATTTCTCACTTTATATAAATATTAAGTCCTTGTCATGGTAAACATATAGGTGTTTTTCCTTCAGTACTCTACTATTTGAAGTGTTGTTTTTTTTCAATTTGTCTTGTGGGTAACAGGTTTAAATTAGCATTATTTTGTTTTCAAAGTAGCATCAGACCAACATGGATCACGTTTAAATTATAAAAAAATAAACAGTCCATTACCTCTAAGCAACTCGCTTTAAAGAAGTTATTGTATTGCTACCCCTACCCCCAGTGGAATGGAATCCTTAGAGCAAGAAGATGATTAATCTGGAAGTTCAACTGTGAATTCAGTTATTTCCATAAATTATTTTACAAAGCAAAATTTCTGGGTAATCTAGAATCTATTCTTAGACATCATGTTGAATATTCTTTTATTAATATTTACTATTAGAGTTTTTGTTATCTATCAGCATTTTTCTTCTCTTCATATTCATCAAAGCATTCTAAAAGTTTGATTTTATGTAATTGATCATTCTTTCATAGAACTTCACTTACTGTGATCATGACTGACCAGGAGTAATTGCAGTTGCTTGGTTTCTAGCCTTTACAGTTCATAGTCTTAATATGTGTCACTGCCAGCAATAAACTCTCCTTTGGGCTTTGCTTCTAGACCCCACCCCCTTTTATATTTTCCTGTCCCAGCAGTCCTGGTGATGTTCCCAGTTTCGGGTCTCTATGTTCCAGGACAGGATGCTTTTGGTATACTCTAACTTGACAGAGAGTGTTTATGACCGTAAGAAATGACTGTGTTTGTCATATTGCTTTTTTTGGGGGGGGGGCAGTGAATGGAGGGGTTCTGCAGCTAATAGTATTGACTCGATTCAAAGCAGGGCTGGAAAAATGAGACCAGTATGGGAGGTTGGTCAAGAACTTGTAATGGGCAAGAGTTGGTAGTGGCTTAGAATTAAAGAATAAATATTCTGCGGAAGAAAAAAATTCACTCATTCACTCCCTCAGCAAGCATTTATAAGCACCGCCTAAGTTTTTAATACAGCATGCTCTTCAGGGAGCCCAGGGTCCAGTACAAAGACAGCCACGTGCCAGTAGTTATTTAGCCCCGACTGTGCTCTACCTTGTTCATGGTATTTTTAATATCCATGGTTTCAATTGAGTCCCTCAAAAACCCTCTGGGATAGGTTATCTTTGTTTTACATACTGTAATTAAACTGGGAGCTCAAAAAAATGTATGTGATTTGCCCGAAGTCTCGCTCAGTGAGTGACAGAGAGGGAATGCCAGGAAAATGAAGATTCAGGACAAGTTGGTTTTGAGGTGGGGGTGGGACAAAACACAGTCCTGCAGGCCGAGAGAGAGAAGTCACAGCTAAAGGAATAGTTTGGAGAGTCATTCCTCAAAAGGTGTAGATGCAGCTGAAGGAGAGGAATAGATCATTATGCGGGAGAGTATAACAAATGAAATGGAACAGCGAAAGAATCCTATCATCTTAGGGATGTTTAGGAAATGGAAATTGTTTTGTAAAACTCCAGTCTTTAAATAATTGAAAGAGTAATAATTTCTAATATATTTTCTTGTTATAGAGATAAAAAAACAACAACAACACATAATGTGTTTTGAATGTTTATTTTAGCTTTTCAAAATGTCCAACACAGAATCTTGCGGAAAAAGAGAGAAGTCTCAGAGAAAAGACACCACCTCATTACCCAGCTTTGATGAAGAAGTAAGAATTTTGATTTACTAATCCAAAGACAGTTGATTCTCGTGTAATGCAGAAAATTCTCCTCTGTTTTAAAATGACATATGTACCCCGGCCGGTGTGGCTCAGTAGTTGAGCTTTGACCCATGCACCAAGAGGTCACCGGTTTGATTCTGGGCACATGCCCCGGTTGTGGGACAAATCCCTGGTAGGGGGCATGTAGGAGGTGGTCAGTTGATGTTCTCATGGACTTTTCTATTTCTCTCTCCCTCTCCCTTCCTCTCTCTCTAAAAACCAATAAAGAAAAATAAATAAAATGACGTATGTAAGTATGTTGTTCTGCCCTTCTGGCCCAGAAGTAATTTGTTTTTCCCATTCTTTACTTGCATTATTTTTTTTTTCCTCACCCGAGGACATTTTTTCCATTTTTTGTTCAGGTAGAGTGGGAGGGAGAGAAAGGAACAGATATAGAGAGAGAAACATCGATGTGAAAGGAACACACCGAGTGGCTGCCACCCACACGACCTACCAGGCCGGGGACAAACTGCAACCGAGGTACGTGCCCTTAGTGGGAACCGAACCCGGGTCTCTCTGGACCGCAGGCTGACGCTCTAACCGCTGAGCCAAACCGGCCAGGGCACTTGCATTATTTTATTTATTCCTCACAGTTCTGTCAGGTAGGTACTATTATTGTCCCACAGATGAACAAACTGAAGCTTAGAGAGATAAGTAATTTGCCGAGGCATTCCTGACTTCAATTCTATATCTTCCCAGAATCCTCCTTTTTGTAGACCATTTTCTTTTAAAATATTTTTTATTGATTTCCCAAGAGAGGAAGGGAGAGGGAGAGAGAGAGAGAAGCATCCATCTGCCTCCTGCATGCCCCCTACCTGGGTCGAACCTGAAACCTGGGCATGTGCCCTGACAGGGAATTGAATCAGCAACCTCTCAGTGCATGGGAGGACACTCAATCAACAGAGCCACACTGGCCAAGGCTCAGAGACCATTTTCCACATCTTCCTTCTGCATTTACTCAGCATTGGATAGGATTACATCCTCATCAATCAAAATGGGGAGCTGCAGGGGAGGCTGAGGATAGGGAATGCATGCTTACCATGTTCCTAAGGTACTGTCAGCACAGTACTTTAAGAAGTGTTTTGGTGGGTGACATTTAGGATAGCTAAATAATTGAGCTAGGTGTTGTCTCTAGGAAGCAGGACAGTCACATGATTGATTTAATCAAAACAAGCAAAATACCCTGCAGTCAATGTTATTATAAACTCCGAATAGTCTGCATAGTGCATCATCAGAATTGGATAGTGTTTATGATATATTATCGTCCAAGATGAGTTCCTTAACCTGGCAAAGGTAAGTATTCACTAAAGGAGTGACTTCTGTGGTAGCAGGTTAGTTCATATTGCTTTTTCAGCACTTGAATGGAGTATTCTAGAGATCATTACACTTTTTGGTATTTGTTCCTTGCTTACTAACTTTCTGATTATTAAATTGGCCTCCCAGGTATAGTTATAATTGAAAAGTGGAGTGTGGCCTTGATTTAGGTAACCCTATTTGACACTAGTAATTGACATGCTGTTTGCAGTTCTCCCATTCTTCACCTACTTGAACTAGACTTTTCTTGCCATTACTCCTCCAAATATGCTCTCATTAAGGCCAGCAATAGTTTCCATGTTGCTAAATCCATTGCGCAGTTTTTGTTTTTTTTATCCTCACCCGAGGACATTTTTCCATTTTTTGTTCAGATAGAGTGGGAGGGAGAGAGAGAGAGAGAGAAACATCGATGTGAAGGAGACACATCGAGTGGTTGCCACCCATACCACCCAACCAGGGCCGGGGACAAACTGCAACCGAGGTACATGCCCCTAGCGGGAACCGAACCTGGGTCTCTCTGGACCACAGGCTGACGCTCTAACTGCTGGGCCATACTTGCCAGGGCCATTGGACAGTTTTAAGACCACATCTGACTTGACCAATCAGCAATATTCAACATAACTGATTTCACCTTCTCTTTGAAACACCTTCTTCACTTAGCTTTTGAGACTAAGTGAGGAGGAAAATCGGAGGAATTCATCACAGTGTCCTTCACTGGTTCCTCCTCATCTTAAATGATAACCTTCCAAGTGCCGAGCCTCAGTTTTTCCAATTTGGTAAATTGAAATTCCATTTTTTTCAGTTGCTTGATCCAAAACCCTGGTCACCGTCCTCTTCTGCATCCAGTCTATCCGTAAATTCTGTTAGCTTTCTCTTAGTAATACATTCAGAGCCTGACTACTTCCTCTACTGCTGTCACCATGATCAAGGTAGTCGACTCGCTTTTCTAGATTATCCCAACAATTTCTAAATTGATCTCTGTGCTTCTGCCTTTGCCTCCTTGTGTTCTCTTCTCAACACAACAGCCAGAGCGATTCTATTAAAATGTAAGTCAGATCATATCACCCCTTTACTCAGTATTTTCTAATGGTTTTTCACTTCATCCAGAGTAGAAACTAAAGTCCTTGCTGGTGCCATCAAAGTGACCTAGTCTCCCCATCTTTTCTCCCTCCAATTCCCCCTTTGCTTTTTCCACCCCTTGGCTTCCTTGCTGTGTTCCAACAAGCCAGGCACCTTCCTGCCTCAGGGCCTTTGCCCTTGCTGCTATTCCCTTTGACCTGAAAACAGTTTTCCTAGGTGTTCACATGGTTTCTTCCATCCCTTTTTTTTTAATTAAAAAATAATTCTTTTTCTTTATTGTTTTTAGAGAGAGAGGAAAGGAGAGGGAAGGAGGGAGAAAGATGGAAACATCTATGAGAGAGAACAATGATTGACCGCCTCTTGCATGCCCCCCACTGGCGATTTGGCCCACAACCTGGGCATGTGCCCTGACTGGAAATTGAACCAGCAACCTCCTGGTGCATGGGTCAGTGCTCAACCACTGAGCCACACCGGCCGGGTCCATCCCTTCTTTAGGTCTTTATTCTTTAAAATTGCAACCTTCTCAACCCCAACTTCCCAACATTTCCCAATTATTTTCTCTGCTTTTTTTCCCCCATAGCACACTGTGCCACACTAAATATATTACTTATCTATTTTTTTTTTTAATCCTCACCCGAGGATATTTTTCCATTTTTTGTACAGATAGAGTGGGAGGGAGAGAGAGGAAGGGAGAGAGAGAGAGAGAGAGAAACATCGACGTGAAGGGACACATCGAGTGGCTGCCACCCACACGACCAACCAGGGCCGGGGACAAACTACAACCGAAGTACATGCCCTTAGCGGGAACCGAACCCGGGTCTCTCCGGACCGCAGGCCAGCTTTAACCGCTGAGCCAAACTGGCCAGGGCTATTACTTATCTATTTTTGAACTCCTGCACTAGATTTTAACCTGCATGAGGGCAGGGACTTGTATAGTTTTTTCATTACTCTGTCTTCACTGTCTAGAATGTCTTTGGCACATGGTAAGTACATAAAATATATTTGTCCTGGGTCTCTTGAACTCAGGACCCAGTGAAAAATAACTGGGTATATGGGTTTGCTTTGTAGAAGACTGAGTTCCACTATGGCTGTGCCACCTCTCAGGGCCCTTGAGCTGTGAGCAGGCCTTCTGCTGTAACACCTGTTTCCCATCTCATCTCTAATTTTAGAGCATCTAGATCTTCTGGTTTCTGGTTGAGTCTCCCATCTAGTTGGGCTTCCCCTCTGAAATTTATTATTAGTGTAGAAAGAATGTTGATTTATTACAGTGATGAAATAATGCTGTCTTATATTGTGCTTTATTTTATGCTTTTCTTTCCTTTTCTCCAAATGCCATTCTTAGGAAAAGAAAGTTAAAAAAATCTCAGCAAGTTCTACTAGCTCATCTTGCTCTGTAAGATCCATTTCATCAGATAAAAGAAAACTGGTGAGTGTTTACATACTGTAACTAACTGAAAATTATTTATATTAAAGTTTGAATGTACAATCAGAAAGTTTATGATATAAATCTTCCCACTACTTTTTCATTAGTTTTTTCTTTGTATTATACTTACTTTTTGATAGCCAGTGGAAAGAAAAACAGGTTGGTTTTTTCCTTTCTTCTCTTCCAAAAGCATTTATCAAGTTCCTTATTTCTTTTTGCTGATAGACCCTGCCATTTGGGATTAAACAACATGGATATAAATTTAGACATTTCTAAAGTCTTTCCCATATGTGGTTATATTTGTCTTTACACTTTCTTTTTGAGGTAGCCAAGGCAGATATAGTGTTTGCATTTTCAGATTCAGAAATTGAGATCCAGAAGGTTAAGTGAATTGTCCAAAGGAAACAAAATTGTACTGTAAATTCTCAATGTTCTAGGTAGGTTCGCAACTTTAAGTGAAATGATTTATAATGAAACCATAGACCAATTGGTATTTTACTGTAGACTAATTGATATGAACAAGAGTTAACTTCCAACAGCATCTCATTAGTGTTTTAATGAAACAGTGAAGGAAACGATGTTATTTGAGGACCTGCTGTGTCCAGCAACAAAGCCAAGTTCAAAGTTCTTTCCACTCTCACACAAATAATTAGAAGCAGTGACTGCAGAGTAAATACATGAAGCTGATTTGTAGGTGGTTGGTGAAGTGCTTACGACATTCAAGTTGAAGTTAGATTTATGTCAAGATAGCTACAGAGTTGTGGGTAATAAGAAAAGGTAGTGCACGTTACATGAATGCAGAATTGTGTTTTTAAGAATTTGTTTTCATATAATGAAACTGCCATTTCAACTTATTGCTGTTCTATTAACCTTCTTAAAACACTGATTTGGTTATATTTCCTCTATGTTAATAAACCTTCACTTACTTTTTAGTTTGTCATTCAGGATGCTCTTAAATTTGGTTACACCCTAACTCTCCACTTTTCTTTTTTCTTCTTCCTGAAAACTTCTGCTTCTAGCTAGGTTGGTTTATTTTATCCCTGTTGAATTTGTTCCAATCATCTTTAGCTCTGAATGCCGAAGCACTCATTAGCTGAGAATGCCTTTTCCTTTTGCTCATTAATCCTTACTCATTCTGTAGTCAATCTTCTGCATATATTTTGTCTCCTTTTTTTCCTAGGTATGTTTCAACTTTTGGTGGTTGGTGTTTTAAACACTTTTATGCCGTGGTCGGTTTGGCTCAGCGGTTAGAGCATTGGTCCACGGACCAATGAGTCTTGGGTTCGATTCCGGTCAAGGGCATGTACTTCCGCTGCAGTCATCCCCCAACTCTGGTCGGGGTTGTGCAGGAGTCAACCGGTCGATGCGTCTCTCTCCTGTCAATGTTTCTCTCTCCCTCCCTCCCACTCTATCTGAAGATAAAATGGAAAAAACTGTCCTTGGGTGAAGATAAAAAATAAATACCTTTAAAATTTATTGTCTACTTTTCTGCTTTGATGCTTAATTGTGTCCTTACATTAGGATATTTGTACATAACTCTTCTACTTCTCTTTACTTTATTCTTTTACTTAAGCTCTTTCAGAAAGGGACTATATATCCTGTTTCGGTCTTATTTTTCTTGTGCCCAGTCCTGTATCCCCAGAGTACAAAGAGAGACAGGGTGACAGAATAGAGAGTAGACAGATCTGGTTTCAAGTTAGGACTCTGCTGCTGACCTGCTCTGTGACATTATGGAAGATAATTTGCTCTGTTTGAGCCTTGGGTACTTTGTCTTGTAAAATGGGGGATGATAATGGTGTCTGTCTCACAAGATTATTGGAAGGATTAATTATTGTGTCAACTCATTCACGATCACATAGGTGTGGAAAAAAATTATCTCCCAGTCTCTTTCCCCTGTAACTGTAGTACCACTGCACAACTTACATTTCTTGAATGATACTTTTTTTTTTTTTTTTCCAGAAATCAGATCATATAGACATTCTGAACTGTAATACAAAAAGAAGACAAGAATTGAAAAGGTAAATTCCCCACTTTTTTTGATACCATTTTACTTTTTTGGCCTAGAATTGTGAGACTAAATATTTAAACTTGCAAAACCCTTTACTTACTGTGATTAGTACTCTTTTGAATGCAAATATTTCTAGCTTTATCAGAGATTATAATTTTTGTTAATATAAATTTAAGGAAATGTTGAGTAAAAAAGTCTTTCAGAATTCTATACTATATGAAAGACACTTTCAAATAAAATGTAGATTTTTATCTCAAGTGTTTTTATTTTTACATCTTTATGAGATATAATAACTTCATTACATATAGTAATGGAAGCAGTTAGGAGGCTGATTAAGAAATTTTGGGTAATTATTTTTACATATTAACCTTGAAAAGAATGTGTAGCATATTGAATTCATATGGCTCTAAAACCATGTTAATGAAAAAGGATGTGCCTATAACTAGAGAACATGGGGCATAATGGTAGGAATAATGGAGATTCTTCTTTGATTTCCGTGTTCACATCATTTTTGTGGTGAAGGAATTTCTCACCACTAATTTGACTAAATAAGTATAAAACGTATAATGCATGATAAAAGTTGATAAGATCAAGGTTTCTGAAAAGATAAGGAGTTATGGGAAAACAATTAAAATGGCATTAGCCCTGGCCAGTGTGGCTCAGTTGATTGAGTGTCCTCCTATGCACTGAGAGGTTGCTGGTTGGATTCCCAGTCAGAGCACATGCCCTGGTTGCAGGCTCAATCTCCAGTGGGGATGTGCAGGAGGCAGCTGATTGCTGTTTCTCGCTCATCAGTGTTTTTCTCTCTCTCTTGCTGTCCCTTCCTCTCTCTCTCTCTAAAAGGAATAAAAACATATTGAAAAACACACAAACAAAATGGCATTAAATATATAAAGAACAGTTCTGCTCCCCAAACAAGCTCAGTTACCATTTGCTAAAAGCAAAAAACAAAAATTTAAAAATTTGATTTCTTTTTCACTCTTTTCAGTTTTTCTTTAAAATAATTTTCTTCTATTTTTTTATTTTTATTTTATTTTTTATCCTCACCCGAGGACACTTTTCCATTTTTTTTTTGTTGTTGTTCAGGTAGAGTGGGAGGGAGAGAGAGGAATAGAGAGAGAGAGAAACATTGATGTGAAAGGGACACATCGAGTGGCTGCCACCCACACAAACAACCAGGGCCGGGGACAAACTGCAACCAACCGAGGTACATGCCATTAGCGGGAACAGAACCCGGGTCTCTCTGGAACGCAGGCCAACGCTCTAACCGCTGAGCCAAACCAGCCAGAGCTTTCTTCTATTTTTTTGTGATATTTTGCTTTTATATTATCTGTTGAAGTATATTCTGTTACAAATTTCATATTATGTTGACTATCACTTTCTAAATTTTAAATAGATTTTTAATGCATTTTGTAATAGTATCTTATTTTATTTATTTTTATCCTTACTTGAGGACATTTTGCATTTATCTTCAGATAGAGCAGGAGGGAGAGAAGGAGGAAGAGAGAGAGAGAGAGAAACATCAATGTGAGAGAGACACCCAAGTGGTCGCCACCCACATGACCCCAACCGGGGCCAGAGACAAACTGCAACCGAGGTACATGCCCTTAGCGGGAACTGAATCTGGGACTCTCTGGTCCGTGGCCAATGCTCTAACCACTGAGCAAATTGGCCAGGGCATAGTATCTTCTTTTTTTTTTATCCTCACCAGACGACATTTTTCCTTTTTTTGTTCAGATAGAGTGGGAGGGAGAGAGAGAGCGAGAAACATTGATGTGAAAGGGACACATTGAGTGGTTACCACCCTCACGACCCAACCAGGGCCAGGGACAAACTGCAACCGAGGTATGTGCCCTTAGTGGGAACGGAACCCGGGTCTCTCTGGACCGCAGGCTGATGCTCTAAGTGCTGAGCAAAAATGGCCAGGGCTATAGCATCTTATTTTAAAATTTTTATTTTAAGTTCTAATACACTGCTTGACAAAAATATTTTTTAAATGAGTTTAAAAACCTGAAACACTGCTTGATTTTTTTTTTTTTTACAAGTTACCTTTTACATAAGGGCACATTTTCTAGCCCTTGATTTTTTTTTTTTTCTGGTTAATCCTCACCCAGGGAATTTTTTCCATTGAATTTTTAGAGAGCGTGGAAGGCCGGAAGGGAGGGAGGGAGGGAAAGAGAGAGAAAGAGAGAGAGAAACATCAACGTGAGAGAGACGCATTGATCGGTTGCCTCCCTCACACACCCCAGGGCTGGCGATTGAACCAGAAATCCAGGTATATGCCTTTGCCTGGGAATGGAACCCAAGACCCTTCGGTGCACGGACCAACACTTTAACCACTGAGCCACACCGGCCAGGGCTCTAGATCTTGATTTTATATCCATGTATCAGAGCATAAATAGACTTCTGATCTATATACTACCCCCATAGACTTGCCCACATAGTGTCTGGGGGAGGAAGAAATGTTGATTTACTTTAAGAATAGAATCTAAATCATTCTAAGAATGCAGTGAGGTTCAACTTGGCTTTAGCACTTACTCAAAATCTGTTATTTAGTTTCAGTCCTTGCAATGCTGAATAGTTGAATGCCTACTTAAAAACATATCTGCATCCCTGAGCCCACATGTGTTCATCATAGGTAATTAGACTACCAATATTAGTAATATGAATAAGGCATAGCATTTGGATTTATTGTTAATATCTGAATATTCACTTTCAAATATTGGCAAGCACTCTAGATGTAACTTGTAGTGAAATTTTCTTTTGTCAAAGACAAACTATATGGCATACGAGATATCTTAGAACTGTCTTGTAATTTATGTAAACAATATGGTACCCGAGCTATTATATATTTAAAAGATTGCTTGTACTTGACTTTTTGCTATTATAAATAATCCTGAATTGAATATATTTGTTAGCTGATTTCTTATTTTTTCACCTTGATATTAATTTCTAAAATGGAAATTACTGAGAAGTCAAAGAATATGAACATTTTTAGAATTCTTAATTATATTTTCAAATTCCTTTGTGGAAGTAGAATCATTTTGCTTTTCCACCAGCCATTTTCCAGTTCTTTGAATTTTGTTTATTTATTTTGTTTATTTATTTTTAATACAAGTTTGAAAGTAAATAGTCATTTACATTTATTATTTTCCCTTGTGATTTTTTCCATGGCTTTTAGGTTTAGGATGTTCTCTATTAGGATATCAGATAAATATTTTTCCCCTGTGGTTTTTAAGATTTTGATATTATTATAATAATTATTTTGCACTTAAGTGTTTAATCTATTTGGAATTTATGCTGTCTGGTATTTTATAAAGCTGTAAATTTGTGTTTTGTTTTTCCCAAAAAGCAAACCAATTATTCCACCACCATTTGTTGAATAATCCTTTCCATTTCATTCTTAATGTAGTCATTTCTACTTTTTATGAAGTTTGTGTCAGGCTAGTTCTGTCATTTTCTAACTAAAATGATAGTGCAAATTATGTATAACCATGTATAATTGTAATGTAACCTAGGTTTCTGTGCTGCTTTACAGACTGAATGTAGACACTGAAACTCCAAGAAAGAGACCGAAACTCAGTTCATCGTCCCAAGGACCTGTGAAACTTCAAGAAGCATCATATTCAAATGATAATCAAATTATTTCACAAAGTTCTTCTTCAAATGGAACTAAAAATGATATAAATAAATGTGTAGATTTTAAAGGTAAAGACATTAAATTGACAAATGTTGACCATGGAATTAAAAGCCTTAGCAATCTTAAAATTGCCAAAGATGTGAAAGCTAAAGCTGCAGGCCAGGCAAATGAGAAAACATGGCCTCGTGTGCTTGCTCAGAGGGAGAAGATGAAAGAGGTCAAGAAAGAAAGGCACAATAAATATAGAGAGAGTTCTGAAAAATGTGTTCTGGAAAAATGCAAGAGAATCCAATTTCCTCAGGATTATAATTCCAACAAGATATTTAAGGAACCCCTCGAATCTAGAAGAAAAAAGATAAGTTTCAAAATCCCAGTAAAATCTCATGCTATCCACCAGAAGCCTGTAGAAGACAATGTTTTCCTTTTGGATTCCAGCAAGTCAAAGACTAAACAGAAGAAAAAAGGGCGCCTGGAAAACTTTCAGGTTTCTTTAAATTTGATGAGGCACAAAAATAAACATTTGTTTTCAGATTCCACTTATAAACAGACTGTTCATGAATGGAAAGGAAAATACCATCATGAGCATCGAGAAAGTAATGATTCAAGGTCTAATGAAAACCTGACCCAGGTAAGGTAGTACAAAACAGAGAATGTAGGTTTTAGCAAAGAGTAATATGTTTCCATTACTGATAATGATCACAGAGGGCTGGTTCAAATTTAGTCTGGAAGATATGTTTTGATTCCTTTATTTTATACCTTTAATTCCATCTTCTTTAGGAAGATATCCTGGCAAGTATCAAATATCTATAATAGAAGAGAATGCATAAAAATGTAGAAAAATGCAGTTACAAATAGTCTTTAAAAAAAAAAGTACAGTGGCCCTGTCTGGGTGGCTTAGTTGGTTGGAGCATCATCCTTTACTCCCAAAGGTTGCCGGTTCGGTATCCAGACGGCACTTACCTAGGTTGCAGATTTGATTCCTGGTTGGGGTGTGTATGGGAGGCAAACGATCAATATTTCTCTTTTACATCCATGTCTCTCTCTCTCTCTCAACTAAAAACAAAAAAACAAAAAAAACAAAAGATAAAACAGGTGAGGATTAAAAAAACAACAACACCGTGGCAGTCTTTTAAGCATTTTTTTTTTTTTTGTCCTCACCCAAGGTCATTTTTGCACCTAGAGGAGGGAGAGAGGGAGAAAGAGAGAGAGAGAGAAACATCATCGTGAGACACGAGTGGTTGCCACCCACATGACCCCAACCGGGGCTGGGGATAAACCGCAACCGAGGTCCGGGCACCAAACCCAGGTCTCCCCGGTCCGACGCTCTAACCACTGAGCAAAACCGGTCAGGGCTCTTAGGCTATTCTTTAACCCTAGGTACTATAGAACACCCAGGTGGTAGTATTCTGAATAGCTTATTCCTTTAGCAAATTATTTTTTCAGTGCCACTGTGTGCCAGGCATTGCTATAAACTGTAAGGGACACACCATCTCTGTATTCAGAGGCTTATGTATGTGAGGAGATACAACAATCACCTAAATCTGGAAATTCACAGCAGGAGATAAACATGGCCTTGGTACACTGTCCAGGGATTAGTTAAGAAAAGTTTACCAGAGGAGATAACAGTTAAACTGAACTAAAGAATGAATAGGAATTACTTAGGTGAAGGTGCTTTACCCATGTACATTACAACTGTGAATATTTTAGCCTTTCCTTCTTAGTCATATTGTAATATTCAAAGTCCCTTTGTTCATATTGTAATATTCAAAGTCCCATGTCACTTAGAAATGGTTCAGTTACTCCTGGATGAAAATTTCCCACCACTGAAGACCAGTTTGTTGACCTTTGCCGTGGTTCTTTTTTAGTTTATTTTTTTATTCATCACCCAAGGATATTTTCCCATTTATTATTAGATAGAATGGGAAGGAGGGAGAGAGAGAGAGATAGAGAAACATCTTTGTGATGGAGCCACATCAACTGGTTGCCTGCCACATGACCTGACCGGGGTTGGGGACAAACTGCAACCGAAATACATGCCCTTGACTGGAATAGAACCCATGACCCATTGGTCTGTGGGTCGATGCTCTAACCACTGAGCCAAATTTGCCAGGGCTCTCTTAGTTTTATTCGTAGAATATGAGTATTTTTAGTAATGTACATATGAGTGAGTAAGCCCTAAAGAATTTCTACTTTTTCATGACTTAATAGAATGAGGCTTTTTGAGTCAAGGGGCAATTTCTCATCTGTGGGCAATTTTACCCCTTTGGGGGCATTTGACATAGATTTGATAGAGACATTTTTGATTGTCAAGATTGGGAGGGGGGTTGTGCTACTGGTGTCTAGTGGGTAGAGGCCAGAGATACTGCTAAACATCCTACAGTGCACAGAACAGCCCCACAACAAAGAGTTATCTGACCCCAATGTCAGTAATGCCAAGGTTAGACAACCCCACTGAGGGTATATGCTTCATTCTAAACTAATGAAATTACTTTTCATTACAGAATTTTGAAGCACGATGTTCTTCTGTGTCATATGAAAGTATTCCAGATACAGATCAAGAGGTTAATGATATACTTATTCACTTTGAATATTTAAATGAAATTAAGTCAAACAGTCCCTATTTTAATAAAAAATAATGACTTTTTTGCCTTTGTTTTTAATAAGCTTGAATCTGTTTGAAGAAAGAGCGTAGAGCCCATAGCCCACAAGTTATGTAAATTTTGATTTAGTGTTATTAGGCTTTTGCATGCTTATGCTTGGAGTTGCCAAGATGCAGTTTGATATTAACGTGTTATTTTGCCCATTTTTTTCTAAGCAAGAAGATGAAAATGTTATTCAGTGAAAGCGAGAGTGCATGCATATATATATATATATATATATATGTTTTTTTTTTTTTTTTTACCTGCTGCATCATTTTCTCAGCTAGAATCTCCTGAATGAGCCTCATAGGATTATTGCATAGATTTTTGTTCCCTGGTCCTGAATTAAAATTAGATTTATAGAACACTTCGTATTTTCCCATTTTTAAGAAGACTTTAAAACCATATGGATTGTGACAGGTTTTTATTTGTGACAGTCTTGTTCTGTCTTATGGGTAAGTACCCCTTGATAGAAGAAAGATTTCTCACCTCTGTTCTAAAGCTAGATTTAGATTTCAGTTTTTGATGGTTTATATACAATCTTAGAAATCTCAAGAAGAGTGCTCATCATCCAAATAAAAATATATTTGGCTTCTAAAGTACTTTGAAGTGAGAATGTGGATGAGAATTAATTTAAAGGTCTCCTATGTACTGGGCTGTGTGTGAGGAACTTCACAGTATTTTATTTAATCCTCACAAAAATACTAAAAGGAAATAGATATTTAATATTCCTGTTTTGTAGATGAACAAATTGAGACCCAAGGGAGTTAAATAATTTGCTTCCCTGAGGTTACAGAAGTATTAGGAGAAGAGCTGTTTTAAAACTGTGTATGTTTATAAGTCTATTCTTGCACCAAGCTGCCTCCATATTTTTGTAAACATTTTTCTTTCTATAAACCATCTCATCTTAAGTGAATTAATTAAGAATTAATTGCTTTCTTATTAATCTGCAGAGTAAATAATTCAAAATATTTTACTGTGGGTCCTTACAATTTAGATGCAGATAGTAGAAGAGCTTCATGCTGCACGCGTCGGGAAGAGTGTGGACTTGCCTGTGGTTCCTCCTGCTGGAGAGTTGGCGAGTATGGAGATTGACTTGGTAGAAGATGATGTGCATTCCTCTGCTGGTATGCCCTATATGTCCATGATGATAGTACTTATATTCTCTTTGCTTTCTTAAGGGATGTGCCAACATTCAGTTTTTATAAATATTTAGATGAAAAATGTTCAAATGTGCTCATATGAAATAATAAAGTGTGATGTATATCTTTCAGCTACAGGAATAGGTCTTATCATTTGTCTTTATATATCTCACATTATTAGGCAGACATATTTTCTCTTTCTGCCAAGGGGCAGTAATCATAGTTATGAGTTGTCTTTTATTCCTACTATTAATCATAACTTTTAACAATTTCAACAAAGTAAAGCACTGATCAGAAGTAATGCAAATTGCTCAAAGTTATTATATGCCTGGATTTCTTATTTATATAGCAAAATTGTGATCATTCTTACTAGTAGGAGAAGATAATGATAAATATTACCCAAAACTTGTTAGTACACTATTTTGAATTGTATTTATAAAAATTGTAATGCTACATTACATTCACACTGAATTTTTCAAATTACTGTTTTTGTGTGCATTAACCTTATTCTCTCACAATGGCCCTATAAAATAGCAATGCTAGTATTATCTGTTTTCTTTTTCATACTTTTCTTTTCAATTATATTTCACTCAGAGTATATTAAAATTAGCTTATAATTCCTAAGTACACAACTACCAGTGGTGCAGGACAGAGTTTGGCAACGTAGTTACCACTGGGGCAAGTCAGTTTATGACTTAAATTCATCCATAAGCAAGTCATAATATTCTGCTGCTGGATAATTATTAATTATTACTGTTCTTTCTCTTAAGAATTAGAATAAATGTGTTTTTGTTTTTGTTGTCTGAAGGACTGCCTTCTCTTAATGCTAGCAAAGTTCTATGATACCAGAATTTTAATTTTTAAAGGAGTCTGTTATCAAGTGTCATGAAATCCTAACTTTGTTCTTTTTCTCTAGCAAATACTGCTTCAGACAAACAACTTCTGATTGTTATTGATACAAATATTCTGATGAATCATCTCAAATTTGTTAGAATTTTGAAGACAACAGAAGTCCCAGGTATTAAAAAACATATTTATTGATTCTGATTTTATTTCAGTTGATATTTTATGTTAACAGTAATGTGAGTATCCCCCCCAGCAAACACATTTCCTTTCGGATATGCTATTAAGCATATATTAAGCATAATTAGCTTAAGTTAAAAAAAAGAAAAAGCCTTTGCAGATTAACCTAGTTATCTAAATGGACTCTTCTTTGATCTCCAATAGTATTTATTTATTTTTAACATTCTTTTGACAGGTTTTTAATTTTTATTGTTTATGTATTATTCATTTAGATTGTGAGTTCATTACTTTGTAACTTTCAATTCTCCAACAGCAGTTTGATTTAGTAGCTCTAAATATTTGTTGATTCTAAGACATATTTTTTATTTTTTAGGCTTTGACAAACTTGTATTAATAATTCCCTGGATTGTTGTACAAGAGCTGGATCGTATGAAGGCAGGAAAACTACTGAAATATGCCCAGCACAAAGCTGTACCTGCAGTTCGCTTCATCAATGACAGTCTCAAAAGTCAAGATAGAAACTTATGGGGTCAGTCAATACAACTTGCATCTCAAAAACTCTGTAAGTATTGTTCTCTCAGGTACTTCCTGATTAAGATTTTTTGGGTCCTGACTCATTACTGGAGGGAAATGGTGGTAAAGTTATAAAAAATTTATAGCCATTGAAATGTGAAATGACAGGATATAGTAATGAGTTGGGGTATTCTATCAGGCTTGATTTTTAATTTTTATGCTTTTAGGCATTCTAAGGTTATGTCTATATTTCACAGATAGTGACTGAATAGTTCTGTGTTCATAGTTACATATAAAATACTACTTTGGATTAAAAAAAAAAACTATTATTGCCCTGGCCAAGTAGCTCAATTGGTTAGAGTATCATCCCGATACACCAATGTTGTGGGTTTGATCCCCGGTCAGGGCACATACAAGAATCAACCAATGAATGCATAGCATAAATATGTAGAACAACAAAAACTGATGTTTTTTTCTCTCTCTCTTTTTTTCTCCCCTTACCCTCTCTTTCTTTCTCTTTCTCGTCCTCCCTTTTCCTCTCTCTCTAAAATCAATACAAAAAATAAATAAAAAGAAAAAATATTAAAAGAAAAATACCATTGAGTGACAATACTATAAGTGATCGTAGTTACTGATCCACATGCAGTTCGGACAGTGCAGAGGCACACATTGTTTTCCTCTAGTCAGAATCTGTAATAAAGAGGTGTTTTTATAATAAAGGTCTATAGATTTTTCTCCTGATGTTATTTTTTCCATATTAGTTTACTTTGTTTTTCAATTACTGTAGTCTTACAACCTAAGTATGCCCTTTATGTTTTATATAACACTTTTTGGGGAAAAATTTTTGTGTGGAAAGAACACTGTTGCCTCTGCAGAGTTTGTGCATCCATTTATTTATTTATTTTTAATATGTTTTGAGTTTATACATCTATTTAGAGCAGTGGTTCTCAACCTTCCTATTGCCGCCACCCTTTAATACAGTTCCTCATGTTGTGGTGGCCCCCAACCATAAAATTATTTTCGTTGCTATTTCATAACTGTAATTTTGCTACTGTTATGAATCGCCATCGGAAGTATGTGTTTTCTGATGGTCTTAGGAGACCCCTGTGAAAGGGTCGCTCGACCCCCAAAGGGGTTGACCCACAGATTGAGAACTGCTGATTTAGAGGATTTATTTAATTCTTTAAAAATTTGTTTCTTCCCAACTTAGAATTACTTATGTATGTAGATTTACATTATTTTAAATAAGGATTTATGTTTTCTACCGTACCCATATTCACCATAAGGTATGAAAGAATTCATCCTACGAGGAACACTGTTATGGTGTTAACATTGAGACAGCCTTTGGCACAGCTGTTTAGTCTTACATCTTTTTTTTTTTTATCCTCACTCGAGGATATTTTTCCATTTTTTGTACAGATAGAGTGGGAGGGAGAGAGAGAAAGAAACATCGATGTGAAGGGACACATCGAGTGGCTGCCACCCGCACGACCAACCAGGGCCGGGGACAAACTGCAACCGAAGTACGTGCCCTTAGCGGGAACCGAACCCGGGTCTCTCTGGACCGCAGGCCGATGCTCTAACCGCTGAGCCAAACTGGCCAGGGCTAGTCTTACATCTTTGAAGAAAAGGGACCTCCACCATTCATTCATTCATTCATTCATTCATTCATTCATTCATTCCACTTATAAATATTCATTAGCTCTTAGTATATTCCAGCTACAGCATGTTATGTATTTTAAGTAAGAAGTTCATGTGATTTGTTTAAGTGCTTTCAAAGGAAAACCACAAATAAGTATCACTAAATAGAGTTAAGAAAATATTAAAATGTTTGAACACATTAAATTGAACACCTTAGATGACCTTTTTTTCCTTTTTATTATGCAAAATTTCAAATGTAGTAATTGAATAATATAATGAATCACTCATTTTCAGTAATTATCAACATTTGCCATTCTTGTTTATTCTTTCATTTCCTTTTCCCCTTCTTTCCCAACTCCTGAAACTTTTGTACTAGAAGTAAATCCCAAATATCATATATTACTTTTACCCATAAATACTTAGATATGTGTTGCTAACAGATAAGGTGTTTTTTAAACAACCACACAATTAACAAAATTAAACCCTGATCTAAGCCATCATTTCAGTAAAATCCCAGTCCTTAATAAGAGGTAGGAATTTTGCTTACTCTTAATCTTTTTTCAGTTTGTTGATACAAGTGATATTTTATTATATAACAATATAGGTAATTATGATAACTATATAACATTTTTATGGCCATTATTCTCCAGACCCTTTCCAAATGCTTTACAGTTAATATCTCATTCAAACCTAATGGTACTGTGGACGATACTCTTATTGGTCCCATTTTATTAATGAGGAAATTGAGACAGAGAGATTAAGCACTTGTCCTAGATAGAAATTCCTTGAACAGATTTGCTCTGAGAATTATTTTAGAAAAGTTCATCTTAGAATAGATATTTTGGCCACATTTATTATTTTTAGATTCTTGTTATGTTTCTTTTGACTTTTCCATTTTTGTATGCTTTTTTGATGCTTTGACTACTTCAGTCTGTTTTTGATGATTAAAGAGGATAAATCATAGTAGCTGTCTCAAACTTCTGTGTTGTTTCAGTTTCTGGGTATCTTCCTTGAACTTCATTTTTTCACTTTCATGTTTGAATCTTATTATTTGATCTTAGTTTTATTACATTGCTGAAATTATTTTTAGTTATAAGATTGTAAATATAATAATAGATTATTTGTATAATTATCTATGTCAGATAATATATAAAGTACTTAATGGTTTCTGGCTTGGAATAGGTGGTAATTCTGGTGTCCTTGTTGAATACAGTTTGATTAGAAAAACTAAATATGCCTTTCCCCTAAATGGATGAAGATTATTAATAGGTAATTCACAAAAGGAAGAAATACAACTAGTCAGCCCTTTGATTACTGCATATATTTTCCTGTTTGTTGGCCATTTTTAATGTTGTTGATTTCTTATATATAAAATGTTTTAGATTTATCTTTCACTTTTTTCTTTATTTTTATTGCTTCTAAATTTAGAAAGCAACTTTTTCCCAACACCTACTAGGAACACTTATAGTGTTTTAATGCTTTGGGAATATGAATTAGTAACTTTTCAGGAGAGCAGTTAATCAGTGTGTATCAAGAAGCCTAAAGATATAATTCTATTTTTAGAAATATATCCTATAGAAATAATCAGAAGTGTTTACAGTGATTTATATAAAAATGTTCATCACAGCATTATGCAGCAAAAAATTTTAAACAAACTGATTGTCTGGAGAAGTTACATATAACACTATAGCCATATGAGAGAATACTATATTTTGGAAAATGTTAATGACACATAATAGTAAACAAAATTTGTTGAATAAATACTTCATGAATATTCTTGTAGTTTTAAGTGTGTTTTCCAGCATTATGTAGCCTAGAAAAAGTGATAGAACAGATATTCTTGAACTTTGGTACCTTTAGAGCAGTAGTGCACTATAACTTTTCAGTCTTCTTTTGTCTGCTGAATTGTTTAAAGGTAACTAATGATTTTGAGCTGCCTACTTTGCATTATTGTGGTACTTACTCTGTGAGCTAAAAGAAGGAAAATTGGCTGTTGTAATATATGTCTGCCTGGTTCACTGGTTGCCTGATTAAAGAATTGAATTAAATCTCCCTCAGGCTCATGCTCTGAGATCAGCGAAATTCTGTTAGACTTCATGATGAGAATGTGAGCTCCTAAAGAATTTGTCTTTGCATATCCAATTACTTACTACAGTGACCTGGCATAAATTCAGTACTGTGCAAGTGTTTATTGCAGTAATGAATGAGTTTTCTAATGTGAATGTTTAGAGGATGTAGTAATATAGGCTAATGTTTGAGGGAAACAAAACATTATAATCTGGGAACATTGCTTATTGGCTAGTATGTTTTGAATTTTAGTGTGTAAGGGACTTCCCAAGGGCTTAAATCAAATCAGTTTTTGGGTCCAGGCTCCAAAGATTATACCCAGAAGTGGGTCTGGGAGTGTGGTTCTGCAATTATTAGCAAGCCCCCTGTATTATTAGCAAGCCCCCTGGGAGTTCTGAGGCAGGTAGGGTAAGGACCTAGAAGAAGCACTCTCTTTGGTCCTGTTTCTGCACATTGCAATATTTTAACAAAAAACAAACTTTTACACCTGCTTTAAAGCTTGGAAAATGCCAGAGAACACCCTGTCAGCCACTGATTAACCTTTGTTAGAGATTATTTTTTGCGTTCTCTTCCTAGGACCCATATTATCTTCTCTTGTACATCTCTAAATGTTATTGCTTTAGAGAGGAAGGAAAACCAGACACATGAAAGTGGTTCTGTTGCTGATAGAACAGCTGCTCATGATCTTTACAGATCTTTTTTAAGTTGAGATCATTTTTAAGCATGATATAATAATAATTTACTAATAATCTGCAAGTGACTGAATTGAGAATAGAATTCATAGCTTTCGGTTTTTAGTCTAGCATTTAACCTACTGTTCACATTTTTTTTTTTTTTTAGTTTATGAATGGGCATATCCTATTCCATTTTAATAGAAAACTAACCACTTTTTCAAACTCACAACTATATGCTACCTGAGTTCTAGATCCAAAATTTTCAAGGTATTGTTTTCCTGTGTTGTACCTTCCTCCTTTTATTAAAAATTTTGTGTTTGTTTTAGATGTTTTGGTATGTAAATATAGCATAGATTATACATGTGGTACCCAGATTTCTAGTGTGCTTAATGATAATTGCTTTTACTAAATCTGCAGATGGATTCAGTGATGAGAACAATGATGATCGAGTATTAAAATGCTGTCTTCAGTACCAGGAATTATTCCCTAGTTCTCTTGTTATTCTGTGCACGTGAGTTTCATGGTCATTTTATTCTTTTTTTTTTTAAGTAGCAAATTATAACAAAGGATTTTTAAAAATCCTGTATCTATCATACCAAGGATCAAAAAAACCTACCTGTATATATGCCAATAAGCATATTCAGTTATATTTCATTATCATTTTTTTAATTTTTATGAGTTTATTTGATCCAAACAGATAACATATGCTGGGCACCAAGATCTCAAATGCTCCCTTATTTTTTATTCTTATTGAGGTATAATTGACAACATAACATGTTAGTTTCAGGTGTACAGCATAATGATTTGATTTTTTTATATTATTAAATGGTCACCAAATTAAGTCTAGTTAACACATCCATTACCATACATAGTTACAAAAAATATTTTTTCTTGTGATGAGGATTTTTAAGATCTATTCTCTCAGCAATTTTCAAATAGTCAGTACAGTATTATTAACTACATTTACCATGTTATACTGTCTGACATTCTTACATGTAAGCTATGGACAAATGAAATTTGAATCTCAAGTAGATGACGTTTCATTTCAATTTAATTTATATAATATAAAGAAAACTTTTGAAAAGCAGGGAAGTATCAGTTTAATATCCCAATGAAATAGTTCAGAAATAAAAATCTGACATTTTTTGTTTATGAGGCAAGAAGTTTAATTAATTAGTATGTGGGAAAGGGGCTGTTTATGTTGTATCCTCGGTGTGTGGATTGGATCTACCACTTACCAGCTTTGTGACTTTGGAAGGTTGCTTAACATATTTTCCTCATGTGTAAAATAAAGGGAGAAGAATAATACCTGTCTCATGAGGTTATTGTATTTAATCAGATAATGTATATGAAGGACTTAGTGCCTAGTACACAGTGTGATCTGAGTTTTTTCCTTCTTCTTCCTTCCTCCTTTGTTTCCTCCATTTCCAAGTAATATTTTCATAACTTAGTTCTAAGGTGAAACCACCATAATGCTAACCAAGATTGCATTCATCATGTATGAGAAAAGGCTCTTGGGAAGCCTTTATCTCAGTCTATTGACATCTTGCTTCCAAGTGTATGTATGCTCTGTTTGGCTCAAATAAATTTTATAAAAATTTGAGACAGAGAAAGTGAGCTCTGAAGGAACCAAGAAGAACAATTTTAATGTGCAGTTTTAGTCTGAATTTTAATCACTGCAAAGTAGAGTTTTTACAGTTTTATGATCATGCTTAAATTCTCTGTGTAATGGAGTGATAATGGAAATGAATGGCCCTAAGATTTTTCATGTAAGAGGGTTTAATCAATTATCATTTTAGCTGTCTTCCAAGATAATGTTACTCTTTTTGGTGTTAAAGGAAACATCAGAGATTTCTATCTCTAGGTTTTAAATTATTTTTTGATCTAGAACATATCATCTCAGAGTTTGTTTAAGGCTGAAATAGAATTAGTAATATGCTAATCATTTTGAATTTCAGATTAGCTAAATTTGAGCATAATTGTTGTGTAGTTGTTTTTTAGTTCAACGTGAATGGAAAATAAATTGGTGAAACTTGATCAGTTTTTTATTTCTGCATTCACTCTTTTGTGATTAACAGATGTAATATTTTTTAGTAAAATGAAAATTTGTGGTCAAACTTTATTTTTCTCACACTATTTTCTAGATGAGCCTGTGTTTTACTTTTATTTTTTTTCCCTGTAAAGGGTAGTAATCATGCCTACTGTGTGAATCACTCTTATTTATTGTAGGGATACATTGATATTACCTAAATGAATGATGATTATAATATTAATTGGTATTGATAGTAATAAGAGAACCTTCTATAACACTATATACTATGCATTATTTTAAATGCTTTACTTACATTAACAATCCCAAGTATGGCCAGCAACCCTGTTGATATCTCTAGTCCGTATCTTTCTTCTAAACTCTAGACTAGTATGCTTACACATCTGAAAACTAGCATCTCCAAAAACAAACTGTTGATCTTTCTTTCTAACCTGTTCTCTATCTGAACAAAAAGTTCCACCTTCCAGTCATTTGCTTTTAAAGCCAGAAACCTAGGAGTCAGTTTTGATATTTGCCTTTCATTTTACACATAATCTACTTATCTAGTTAATTAGTGGGTCCTGTATGGTCTTTTCTTTATCATTTTTGCTACCATTCTAGGTCAAGCCATGTTTTTTCCCCTTCTGTTCTTCCTTTTCTATTCTAAGACTACTTCCCTCTACTTCCATACTTGTTCTCCTTCATTTATTCTTCAAAAAGTTACAATTTTTTTTTTTATCCTCACCCGAGGACATTTTTCCATTTTTTGTACAGACAGAGAGGGAGAGAGAGAGAGGGAAACATCGATGTGAAAGGGACACATCGAGTGGCTGCCACCCGCACGACCAACCAGGGCTAGGGACAAACTGCAACCGAGGTACGTGCTCTCAGCGGGAACCGAACCCAGGTCTCTCCGGACTGCAGGCGGATGCTCTAACCGCTGAGCCAAACTGGCCAGGGCTTTTTTTTTTTTTTTTTAAGTTTAATTATGGAGATTTTCAACAACATTCAAAGTGAAGAAGAGTTAATAAAAACTCCTAATTACCCAGCTATAACAATGATCAAAATTCTTGTTATTTAATTGTACCTTCATCCATTCCCTGTCCTCCTATGTGATTATTTTATACATGTCTTTGTATTTTAAGAGAAAATGTACATGTATTGAAATGCACATATTTTAACTATACAATGTTGACAATGGATACACTGGTGCAACACACACCCCTCTCTATATAAAGACCATTGTCATTAACCTCCCAAAAAGGGGTATTTGTGCTTTTTTTCTAGTTTCTTAAGGTGGAAGCTTGGATCATTTATTTGAGACTGCTGTAAATTTTTCTTTAAGTACTACTTTAACTGCATCCCACACAATTTGATATGTTGTTTTTTTATTTTCATTCAATTAAATACGTATTCTTTTTGTTGCTGTTAATCCTCACCTGAGGATTTTTTTTTCATTGATTTTTTTTTAGATAGAGTGGGAGGGAGAGAGAGAGAGAGAGAAACATTGATGTGAGAAAGACACATTGATTGGTTGCCTCCCACAGATGGGGCCAGGGATGAACCTGCAACCCAGGTATAGTGCCCTTGACCAGGAATCAAACCCGTGACCCTTTGGTCTGTGGATGGACACTCTGACAGCTGAGCCAAACCTGCCAGGGCAAATACGTATTCTTTATAATTTCCCTTTGATCCATAGGTTATTTAGATATTTGTTCATTAATTCTCAATATTTGCTAATTTTCCTTTTTTTTTGTTATTGAATTGTAAGGCTTAATTCTGTTATGACTTGAGAACATACTCTATATGATTTCTATCCTTTTATATTTGTTAAAGTTTGTTTTATGGTCTACCTTGGTGAATTTGTGTGCACTTTAAAAGAATGTATATTCTGCTTTTGAAGGTGGAGTAGTCTATAGATTTCAATTAGGTCAAGTTGGTAGGTGGTGTTGTTCAGGTCTTCTATAACCTTACTGTTTGTTACCTGTTTGCTTATTCTATGATTACTGAGAGAGGAATATTGAAATCTCCAGCTGTAACTGTGGATTTGTCTATTTCTTTCAGTTCTATTTCTTTTTATGTATTATGAAGTTTTATGGCATGATGCATACACAATTTAGGATTGTTTAGAATTGTCTTATTGGAAAATTATATAATGTCTCTCTCATTCTATAATGTCTCTCTTTGTCCTTGATAATATTCCTGGTTCTGAAGTTTCCTTTGTTAAGTATTAGTATTATTTTTCTAGTTTTGTTTTGGGTAGTATTTATATGGTGTAGCTTTTGTCATCAATTTGTTTATAACCTACCTTCATATAAAAGAATTGTGTGGACAAAATATAGTTGGTACTTCCTTTTTGCCTAATCTGACAATTGTATCTTTTAATTACTGAGTTTATACAGTTCACATTCAGTTGATTGGATCAAAATCTACCATTTATTTAATTATTTTCTATTTGTCATCTGTTTTTCTTTCTTTTCTTTGGTTAGTTGTATTTTTATGTTACTGTTCTATCTCCATTATTACCTTATTTATATCTTCTTGAAAATACATTTCAGTGGTTTCCCTAGTGTTTATAATATACATCTTTAGTTAATCAAAGTCTACCTTCAAATAATATTACATTTATTTACTTGTAGTATAAGGATCTTACAACAGTATACTACCAGTTTCTTCCTCCTATTCTTTGTGCTGTTGTTGCCATAGATGTTATCTTTACATAAATGAAACACATATAATACTTTGCAATTATTTTTACTTCATTCATTTAGTGTTTATTTTTATTTTTTTTTATCCTCACCCGAGGACATTTTTCCATTTTTTGTTCAGATAGAGCGGGAGGGAGAGAGAGGAAGAGAGAGAGAGAAACATCGACGTGAAGCGACACATCGAGTGGCTGCCACCCGCACGACCAACCAGGGCCGGGGACAAACTGCAACCGAAGCACGTGCCCTTAGCGGGAACCAAACCCGGGTCTCTCTGTACCGCAGGCCGACGCTCCAACCGCTGAGCCAAACCAGCCAGGGCCATTCATTTAGTGTTTAGATAAATTAAAATGAGAAAAACATGAATATTTTAATCTTGCATTTCGTTTTGAGCACTCTTCATTTCTTTTTATAGATTCAAGTCTGTCTGGTGTCATATTCCTTCTGCCTAAACAACTTTCTTTGACATGTGTAAGTCTCTTGACAATGAATTTTTGGGTTTTGTTTGCTTCTAATGTCTTTATTTCTTAATTATTTTGGAAAGATATTTAGGTTAACTTATACTTTTCTTGATGTTTTAAAGATGTCACTCCATTTTCTACTAGCTTATATGGTTTCTGATGAGAAGTCTGCTGTAAATGTTGTCTTTGTTCCTCTGTATGTAGTGTGTTCTTTATCCCTCTTATTGCTTTCAAGATTCATCTTTTGCTTTTAGCAATTTGTTTTAGCAGTTTTTAGCAGATATGCCCAGATGTTTTGTGTGTGGGGTGGGGGATAGATTAGGGAAGAGCAGACATCCTGCTTGATGTTCTCTGAACTTCTTGGATCTATGGTTTTGTGTCTGTCTTTAGTTCTGGAAAATTCTCAGCCATTATTTCTTCCAATATTTCTTCTGTTCCCCGTTGTCTCCTTCTGGTATTACAGAGTTATATTGTAGTAGCCAGCCTCCGAAATGACCCCAATGATTACTGCCTTCTAATATTAATACTCTTGTGTAGTTCCCTCCTACATTGTACCAGGATTGCTTGTTTGTGTGACAAAGTATTCATCAGAAGTGATGGTGTGTCATTTCTGAGATTAGGTTTTTTGTTGTTTTGTTTTTTTTTATATTTTTTTGTTCAGATAGAGTGGGAGGGAGAGGGAGAGAGAGACATCGACATGAATGGGACATATCGCGTGGCTGCCACCCACACGACCCAACCAGGGCCGGGGACAAACTGCAACTGAGGCACGTGCCCCCAGCGGGAACTGAACCCAGGTCTCTCCGGACCGCAGGCCGACGCTCTAACCACTGTGCCAAACCGGCCAGGGCTGAGATTAGGTTTTAAAAGACTGGGACTTCCTTATATGCATTCTCTTGCTTCCTCCTGTCTCTTTGATCACTTGTTCTGGGGAAGCAAACTGCTGTGCTGTGACTAGCCCATGGAGATGCCCACATGGTGAGAAAATAAAGCCTCAGCCAAGAACCAGTGAGGGGCTAAGGCCTTCCAACAACCACATGAATGAGTACCAAATAAACCTTGAGATGGCTGCAACCCTAGCCAACAGCATCCTCTAATCTTGTGAGAGACCCTGAGCCAGAACCATCCAGTCCATCTGCTCCCAGATTCAGGAACTATGTGAGATAATAAAAGTTTATTTTAAGCTGCTTAATTTTTGGATAGTTTGTTACACAGCAGTAGATAACTAAAACATGCATGTATGTTAGTTAGACTGTTTGATATTGTCCCATGGGTCCTTGGATTTTTTTAACCTTGTATTCTCTTTTCATTTCAATTTGAATAATTTTTTTTGGACCTGTCTTCAAGTTTTTTGTGTTTTGTTTTCTTTTCTGATTTTTTTTTCCTTTATTGATTTTTAGAGAGAGGAAGGGAGAGGGGGAGAGAGAGAGAGAAACATCGATGAGAGAGAACATCGATTGGCCACCTCCTGCATGCCCCCCACTGGGGATTTGGCCCATAACCTGGGCATGTGCCCTGACCGGGAATCAAACCGGTGACCTCTTGGTGCATGGGTAGATGTTCAACCACTGAACCACATCAACCTTTTTTTGTTTCTTGTTTTTGTTTCTTTCCTTACCTATGTCTCGTCTACTGAGGAGCCTGTTGAAGGCCTTCTTTATCTCTATTACTTTGTTTTTATTTCTAGCACTTCCATTTGATTCTTAATGATTTTCATCTGTGCTGAAATTGCATCTGTGATTTTGCCTACTATTCACCTCCTTTTCCATTACAGCCTTTAAACATATTAATCAAAATTATTTAAGTATTTTTTATTTTTTTATCCTCACCCGAGGACACTTTTGCATTCATCTTCAGATAGAGCAAGGGGACAGAGGGAGGAAGAGAGAGAGAGAAACATCAATGTGAGAGAGACACATTGATTGGCTGCCACCCACACAACCCCAACAACCCCAACTGGGGCTGCGGACAAACTGCAACCAAGGTACGTGCCCTTAGTGGGAACCAAACCCGGGTCTCTCTGGACCGTGGGCTGATGCTCTAACCACTGAGCAAAACCAGCCAGGGCTCAAACTTATTTAAAATCCCCTGCTTCAACCTCTTTGTCAGAGCTGAGTCTGGTTCTGGCTTTGTCTCTTATCAGCATGTTGTTGTTTTCTGGGCAGCATTTATGTGCAGATTTTCGGTTCACCTGCCCTTGATTTTCTTGCTTTTTCAGTTTCTCCCTTAACTTTCTTTCTGCTCTGGCCAGCCCTGAACATTGTTATCTGATGTTCCAAACTATTAAGGCTTTTTATGGCTTTCTGTCTTAAGACATTTATGAATTGGGGGATGCTCTCATGCAAAAAGATAGAAACTTGCAGCTTTCACCTGTACAGTTTTTGTGTCTTGAGAGTAGACTCCCCTCCAGCTTCTGCCTAAGTTTCATTGCTCTCTAGTGCCTTCAAATGGTTTGCATTTTTTCATTGTTGTTCAGATCTTTTAATTCTCATCTGTGGGAGGGTTAGTCTGACCAAGCTACTCTGCCATTAACAAAAGCTAGAAACCTGCTGGACTCCAGAGTGATTTAATAAACACAGGTCTGATCATGTCACTTCCCCATCAAAGGCCTTAAATGTCTTTCCATTTATTAATGCCCTTGCCTTTCTCTGCAGCCACATTAACTCCTCTCATGTACTGTGATCTAATCATACTGATTTCTTTAAGCAACTAGCAAATTCACACCATTTGTCTTAGGTTAACTGAGTAAATTTGTAATTGCCTGTCCTGTGGAAATTATTTGTGTCTCTGTTTATTTCTCTTTGGAGGATCATAATCTGGTGTTCAAATCCATTTCCCACTTACCAGGTGTAACTCTGGACAAGTTACTTAACCATTTTTATAACTCAGTTTCTCATCTATGAAATGGGGATAACATTAGTTCCATTCCTACCTAAGAGGATTATTGTGAGAATTAAATGGAATGATATATACATAAATGCTAGAACAGTGCCTGGTACCAGGGAAACACTTAAATAATAATAATAATTATTATTCTCTAAAGCTCATATAATGTGACATTAGTGTGTTTTAATTCTTTTATCTTCTCTAGTTTTTTAAAAAAATTGTCTTCTTTTGTTAATATATATGATGAAAATTACAAACCTCTGATAGGCCCTGGCCGGTTTTGCTCAGCGGTTAGAGCGTCGGCCTGCGGTCCTGAGAGACCCGGGTTCGGTTCCCGCTAAGGGCGCGTACCTCGGTTGCAATTTGTCCCCGGCCCTGGTCGGTTGTGCGGGTGGCAGCCACTCGATGTGTTCCTTTCACATCGATGTTTCTCTCTCTCTCTCTCTGTTCCTCTCTCTCCCTCCCACTCTACCTGAACAAAAAATGGAAAAATGTCCTCTGGTGAGGATAAAAAAAACAAAAAAAAACAAAAAAAAACCAAAAAAAAACAAACCTCTGATAGATTCTGTGTATTTTGAGTTCCCATGTGATTTATCTATGAAAAATAAAGTATTTTTTCTTCCTAAACCAACCTTAGGGATGATAGAAATTTAAGAAACAAAGGCCTAATAAGTGGTGTGAAGTCACTCAGTAAAGAAGAATTGAGTACAGAGTTCTTAAATGTATCTCTGAACACAGCTGTATGTCATCAGCCTTGTGTATCTAAGCAACAAGTGAAAGCAGGTAAAATTCTTACTATGGATAACTAGAAATGCATCTTATTTTATGTACTAAGATTATTGATAACATTGTAATGAATAGCAAATTTTTATCTTGTACATTTAAAGTAACATTGGAATATTTGCTCACACTTAAGTGGTAGAAATGAATGAAAATTATAATGGTAATATAAAAGAAACCAACAGTATTGCCTTCTACATATACTTTTACAAATTAATTTGAATTTTTGTTGTTCACTCACAGTTTTACATATTTATAGTCATTGTGTGCATACTATTTTGTACCTCATGGAGTATACCTTTCAAATTAATAATGGCTATAGTACATATTCATTTGAAGTGGAAAGAAGTTTTTAATTTCTTTTTAAAAGTATCTTCGTAGTCATAACCTTCTATTAATACTGTAAACACTCAGTAGAAAAACTTGAAAGACTCTAGTACTAGTTCTTTTTACATTTTAAATTAATAGTTAAGCTAAAGGCTTTTTTTCACTAGAATAATCTCTTTTCCTCAAAAATAATCTGTTCTATAATAGAGATTGATATTTGATGGAGTATTATATCAAGTCTGACAAAATCTAAAACTACATACCACTTTTTCCCTCTGTAGGGATAATAATTATTGTCTTATATTGTATATACTTTTATATATAATTGTATAAAAATTCATATATATGCACTTGCTACTTATTTGACCTTTCTGGTAATAAAATTTCTGTAGTCATAATATTCAAAATGGCATTTAGAAGGAGTAACAGGATATTCTAGTTTATAGTTTTTGGGGGTTAACATGCTTTCAGTTTGCCCATTACATTACTGTCATTTTAAATCCTTGGTTTGTATTTATAAAGATAAGCCAGTTAATATTTTTAGTTTTACCATAAAGAAATTGTAGTTGTTTTCAGGTAATAGTAATGTTATTAAAATGATATCAGTCAAAATAATAATAACTCATTTGAAATGGGTTGGGCATAAAGGTAGTTAAGTCAGAGATTTTGATCCTTTCAAACAATTTATTAATGTGAGTTTCAATCAGAAGAATATACTTTTTTTTTGGAAGAAAATGCATTTTGATTCACATTTCTTAATTTTCTATTATATACAGAATCAAATCAGTCTCATGATTTTTCTTCATTTTGGAACTAAAATGAAAATTATAGTTAAAGTATCACACTTTTTTTTTTAATCCTCACCCAAGAACATGTTCATTGGTGTTTAGAGAGAGGGGAAGTTGGGGGGGGGGCAGAGACCTTGATATGAGAGAGAAACATTGATCAGTTGCCTCTCAAATGCACCCGAGTGGGGCCAGGAATCAAACCTGCACTCCAACCAACTGAATCACACCGGCCAGAGCTCACACGCATCCTTAAATTTTTATTTTCGTGACACTATTTAGTTGCCTTTTGTCAAAAAGATAAAGCATTTGTAATGTAATATGGTTTATGTTGCATCTAAAACAACTATACTAGAGATATGTGTTTCTAAATACTGTTTTTAAAATAAAGTATTGGTTTGGTTTCTAGGTAGTTAAAATACTAATTATATACATTAAAAGTTTATTGTTTATGGCCAAATACTAATGACATATGTAAAATACTATCAGTGTCCTAAAAAAAGCTTATAATTGTTTTAAAGAGCAAACACCTTTGGGAGAGAGTAAAGAGGAGGAACCTACAAATTCTGGACTGCTCATTCTACTTGAAGGCATAGTGTCTGATCTTGAAAAATGTCTTGGAACAGCTTTATCTTCAATATTAGAGACAGAAATGAAAATTGCTTTTGGAAACCTCTGGATGGAGGTGATTATTTTAACTCTATTAGTTGAGAAGTTCTATTTTATTGCTAAAGATTGGTTACTGTATTTTAAGAAATATTACTTGTAAGCTTTATAGTAATCATCTATACCGCATTATATTTTTCCTATAAGTTTTTGAAATAACATTTTAAAAGTTAAGCGATAGATATTTCCAAAAGATTAGGACTATATTTTATTAGTCATTTTTTTAGTGAACAAATATTTATTTTGCATCTCCTGTGTCAGACCCTTTGCCCCTATGGAGCTTCAGTTGAATTCAGAAACACGTCTCATTTAGATTGAGTCAACATGTCTAGTGTAGGGAATCCCTCTAGAAAGAAGCATTCAGAAAAAGAAAGGTATATTTTGGCTTATGTCACATAAATATGAGAAATTTCATTATATTAGCAGGATATTTTAAATGTTCTTTAGGTTCACATCTTTTCTACAACCAGTGAAACATCACATTTGGCAATGGTGGCTTTTTTAGTTTAATGCTTGTTTGCTGTTCATATTTATAAGTAGGAGAAACATTAGTCCCAATCAATGTAGATTGTATCTATTTCGGATGTTCATTGAGATACTATTTGCCTATATAGTGTTTGCTCTTGATTATATTATCAAAATGAGGAAGAATGATCAGAAGATTCTAAGAGGGTTGACTTAAATTGGATATTTCGTAAGAGTCTAAGATAGTAATTTTATGTGAATGATTCAAAACAGGACATGCTGACATTTTGTAGTACTAAATGATCAGTCTTCTTTATAAACTTATAAACATGTCTTTGTAAGAGTGTAGCAGGTTTCCATTATTATTCACAACTTTTTTTATATGAAATTATAGAAATATATGAAATTAATGTTATATGAAATTAGATTGATTTTCTCATAGAAATGACCAGGTTAAAAAGTAGGTTGATTAAAATTAAAATTGTTCTTGCTAATTAAAATTGTTCTTCTGATTAGAACTATGCTTTCTTTTTGCACATGTAGTTTCTGAAATTATATAAGGATTAATACTAATACCAATTTAACAAAGGAATTTTTAATGGAAGCATTTTAAGATTATGATTGGCTTTTAATAAAACATCTTTTAGTTTGAAAAGAATTCAACTAACTATATTTTTCTCAGAAATGTATGTAGGCATTCCTGAATGGGTACAGTTGACCTTTGAACAACTTGGGGGTTTGGGATACTGATCACCCCATGCAGCTGAAAATCCAAATGTAACTTTTGACTCCCCCAAAACTTAATTACTAATAGCCTACTGCTGACCGAAAGACTTACTGATAACATAAACAGTCAATTAACACATAATTTGTATGTTACATGTATTATACACAGTATTCTTACAATAAAGTAAACTAAAGAAAAGGACATTAAGAAAATCATAAGAAGAGAGAATACACTTACAATACTGTACATATTTAGTGAAAAATGTCCACATATAACTGTACCTACACAGTTCCAACTTGTTCTGTTCAAGGGTGAACTGTGCTCTTAAAAAAAAAAAGGAATAATAAATAAATCAGTAGTTGCTGATTTTTTCTAAATACTTTTTAGATGCTGTACTTGAAACCACCATGGACTCTAATGCATTTAATACAGTGCTTTAGAAAACATTGGATGGCTGTATTTGGATTAATTATGGAAAAGAACATGCTTTTAACCATTGAGAGCTTATATGACAATCTGTCTAAAGGTATGAATCTTTTATTTTGTTTTTAGCAGTGTTGTATTAAAGTGACACTAGCAGATATAGCTCATGGAATGTGAAGATAAATTAATAAAAATTTTGTCAATCCTTAATCAGTATACTTCTCATTTCTTTCTTTTTTTTTTTTTTTTCATCCTCACCTGAGGACATTTTTCCATTTTTTGTACAGATAGAGTGGGAGGGAGGGAGAGAGAGAGAGAGAGAAACATCGACGTGAAAGGGACACATCGAGTGGCTGCCACCCGCACGACCAACCAGGGCGGGGGACAAACTGCAACCGAGGTACATGCCCTTAGCGGGAACCGAACCCGGGTCTCTCCGGACTGCAGGCCGACGCTCTAACCGCTGAGCCAAACCGGCCAGGGCTATACTTCTCATTTCTAAAGGGAATTTGTGGCAGCTGGATGAGTGGTGCAGTTTATAGACATGTGACTACTAATGATATCATTGTTGATGTTCCTTGATATTGTGAATATATAATTTTTAATAATGTTTGGAAACTTTTTAAATCATATTTTGTAGTTTATTCAAATGCACAAATAGAATTATTTAGATTCTTTTTTTTTTTTTAATCTTTATTGTTGAATGTAGAATGTATTATAGATGTTCCACATTTTTTCCCCCATTGACTCCCTCCTCCCCACTCCCGCCTTTTCCCACACTATTGTCTGTGTCTATTGGTTATGCATATAAGTTCTTTGGTTTATTTCTTCCCACCCCCCAATCCCTTTCCCTTTGAGGTTTGTCAGTTTAGCAACCAATTTGTACTTCTTAATCCCTTCACCTTTTTCACCCATTCCCCCAAACCCCCTCCCATCTGGCAACCAACAAAATGTTCTCTGTATCTATGAGAATGTTTCTGTTCTATCTGTTCATTTTGTTTGTAGATTCCATTGTTGATAGATATGTATTCATTGCCATTTTGTTTGTTCATACATTTTATCATTTTCTTCAAAAAGACCCTTCATCATTTCATATAATAATGGTTTGGTGGTGATGAACTCCTTTAACTTTTTCTTGTCTGGGAAAGTCTTTATATGGCCATCGATTCTAAATGACAGCTTTGCAGGATAGAGTAATCTTGGTTGTAGGTTCTTGCATTCCATCACTCTGAATATTTCTTGCCACTCCCTTCTGGCCTGCAAAGTTTCTTTTGAGAAATCAGCTGACAGCCTTATGGGAACTCCCTTGTAGGTAACTAGCTGCCTTTCTCTTGCTGCTTTTAAGATTCTCTCTTTGTCTTGAACTTTTTGCATTTTGATGATGATGTGTCTTGGTGTGTGCCTCTTGGGGTTCATCTTGTTTGGGACTCTCTGTGCTTCCTGGACTTGTATGTCTGTTTCCTTCACCAAGTTAGGAAAGTTTTCTGCCATTATTGTTTCAAACAGGTTTTCGATTTCTTGTTCTCTCTCTTCTCCTTCCAGCACCCCCAAGATGCGAATGTTGGCACGCTTGAGGTTGTCCCAGAGGCTCCTTACACTATCCTAATTTTTTTGGATTCTTTTTTCTTTTTGCTGTTCTGATTGGGTGTTTTTTGCTTCCTTATATTCCAAATCGATGGTTTGCTCCTTGGATTTACGTACTCTATTATTGAGGCTGTGTAAATTATTCTTTATTTCAGTTAAAGCCTCCTTCGTTTCTAAATGTGCATCGATCATTTCTGATTGGTCCTTTTTTTAGCTCTTGAGGCCCTCACCAAGTTCATTGAGCATCCTTATAAGCCGTACTTTGAACTCAGCATCTGTTAGGTTGCTTATCTCCATTTCGCTTAGTTCTTTTCTTGGGGTTTTGTTCTGTTCTTTCATTTGGGACCTGTTTCTTTGTCTCCTCATTTTGGCTGCCTCCCTGTGTTTGTTTCTGTGTATTACTTAACGAGCGGTATGGGGCTAGCTGAGACCAGATGCTGCTCGTTTTAAAAAATTTAGGAAAACCTGAAGCAGGATCCAAGTCAGGCCAATCCTGTGGTTAAGCAAGTGCCAACAGCTTGGGTGGGCCTGAAAGTTGGGTGGGCCTGAAAGTTGGGTGGGGCGGGGCCTCAGGGAGTCAGCAGGGCGGGGCTACCAGTGTGAGCCAGGTTGCTGGAGTCCCAGATATGGCTTCTGTCTGCCACCCCAGGGAAGGGCTCACCAAAGGAACAAAGGTCTCTGACAGCACGTTTGTCCCGGAGAAAGCCCCCTCTCCAGCCCTGCTCCAGTGCCAAACAGCTCTTCCCTGTATGTCTCTGGTGCCCCTCGAGCTGCCTCCCCTCCGAGCTTAGAGGGAGAGAGTCCGATAAGTCCGTGCGCGGGCCCTTTAAGGAGCTGCCTGGGGCTCCAGCCGCCTCAGCCTCCCTGAGCCTCAGTTCTGGCTGGTTTTTCCAGCCAGAAGTGATGGGGATTCTCTTCCTGGCACTGGAACCCTGAGCAGGGCGCCTGGTGTGGGACTGGGACCCCTCAGTCCTCAGGGAGGACCTTCCCAGTCGAGGTGTCCTCCTGATTTTTATCCCCATACGTGGGTGTGGGACCAGCCCATCCACCTCCACCCCTCCTACCAGTCTCCATGCAGCTTCTTTAATTCCGTAGTTGTAGGACTTCCATTCAGCTTGATTTCAGGTGGTTTTGAATGGTGGTTGTTCTGTAGTTTAGTTGTAACTTGGATGTGGTTGTGGGAATACGCGATACTGCGTTTACCTACCCGCCATCTTGACCGGAAGTCCTAGAATTATTTAGATTCTTTTTCATTTCTCATTGTGTTTAATTACACAACTTTGATCACATTTCATGTACTAATTTTAAAAATAGTGTATCAAGGTTTCTATCTAAAACATGAATAAGGAATAGGAAACTTTTGGCTTTTGTGCACAGTGAATTTTAGAACCAGAAGAGACGATAGTCAACCGCTTAAGTTGATGGTTTTTTAAACCATGTTGTCCAGAACCTGAGGCTTCTTGAAGTGCCTCTGGAGTAGGTGGGCAGTGTTTTGTTCGTACATGCAGCCCAGAGATGGTAGGCAGCAGCTTTCATTGACTATAGTGAAAAAATGAAGAGACGGTGACTGTTTGTTCTGCTAAAAAATCGTTTTTGAAATCATTATGTGCATTATTGATCCTTTGTCTAGAAGAATCTGATGCTTAATGTGTGCTGACTTGTGAAGAATATTAAATAGAATTGTAAAAGTGCCTTCAGCTGTAAGATAATTTTGAATTAAGAATCACAGATTATGATTTTGTTTACTATCTTTAATAGTATCCATGCTGTTGAATTATACATATGTGTTTGCCTTCAGTATACCAGACAGGAATCCTTAGATCAGTTCTTAGAAAAGTGTGTGGAAAAGGACTAGTAGCTTCTTCTGACTTTGTTATCCATATTAACTTTGACTTAAGTAATGACTGTTCTTATATAAGCATTGAACTATTTCAGTCACATAGATTTTTTTTTATTATTATTTTTATTTTTATTTTTTTATCCTCACCCGAGGATATTTTTCCATTTTTTTGTTCAGGTAGAGTGGGAGGGAGAGAGAGGAACAGAGAGAGAGAGAGAGAAACATCGATGTGAAAGGAACACATCGAGTGGCTGCCACCCTCACGACCAACCAGGGCCGGGGACAAACTGCAACCGAGGTATGTGCCCTTAGTGGGAACCAAACCCGGGTCTCTCAGGACCGCAGGCTGACGCTCTAACCGCTGAGCCAAACCGGCCAGGGCTAGATATTTTTTTTTTTATGTTGTGTCTAGGTACTGACTTTATCACCATTATTTATTTCCCTTTTGCTCATAATCTTCGTAAATAATTTTTGTAAGACAGAAATAAAGTGATTAATTCAAGGATGTAAGTAAGCCCTAATGAACATAGCCTGCAGTGGAGAAGCACCCTTACAAAGTTGTGCTCAGTTTCTTCTCCTCAGGAGGTGGACTAGGGTCCTCCACTCTCCCTTCTGTCCTGTGTGGAGCATTTCTCATCTTTCTGTTCCCCAGGAATTTAAACTGGTCGTTGACTTTAAAAATAACTAAAAGTGTTTTGTAAGGAACTATACTATTTGTTTAATTAGTTATTAAAATTTATCTTTAATGTTCATTTGACCTTTCAGTATTTCATCAGCAAATACTTGCTGTATAAGTGATAGAGGAGAATTCTTTATTCTTTTAACTCATAGTGCCAGTGAAAACCCGTACTGGTGTTTTGGAATATAGCAGTTGTTGAAACTGAACAGTAAAATAAAACACATTGTAGCGTGGTTATTTTGAATGCCTTTGAAAATTGTTAGTAGCATTCTATCTTAATAATGGAAAAAATTCTTCTTATTTTGAGTTTTAGTGACACAAAGATACTGATTCATTGTTCATAACTTTTTAAATCTTTGAAATTATTGTCACCACCTCTCCTAATTGGTTTGATAATGTAATGTAATTTTAGTTCCTTGAGAGAAAAGTATACCTTCAAATTATTATTTGTAGATGAACTCACTTTGCTAATTTACGGGGGGGTTCTCTTAGCTTTTCTTGTCCCCAGCTTACTGTTACCCAAATTATTTATTTTTTTGCTAAATGTGTCATGCACAGAAAGAAGACAGGTCATTTTCAATAAATTTTGTATTACATTTTATGTAATGGAATTTGAAGGTAAATCACTATGTAATAACTAAGTTGAGTATGAGAAGTACCACATATTACTTATGTGCTTACCACCAAACTGTGTCTCTTCTGGTGCCTCCATAGTAATCTGTAGGTGAAACAATCTCAGTTTTGAAAATCTGTAGTTTAACTAATTTGTTTGGTGATTATCTCTCTTTTATGAAGAGTATGTTTTTGAATTGCCCATGTTTCAGGAACTCCTGGAATCTGAATACAGAATACGAGAACCTACTCCAAGACCTTTGTAATTGAGTCTGCTTAATTGTTGCTTTTTACACCAGACAGATAAATTAGGAATGGCTTGTAGGTGTAAATGTGTACTCTTCTTAAGTCTCATAATTAACACTATGTTGGTTTTCCAAAGACATTTTTTAGTTGTGTACCCATTCTTACATAGTTTTTCCTTCTTAATTTTCTGTTACCAGCAAACAGTGCAGTAGATTTTACAACAGTGAAATTCCTGCTCCAGGATTCTCAAAGCCTGTTACATGCTTTCAGTACAAGGTCAAATTATGATGGTGTTCTTCCACAGGCCTTTGCTCAAGTAAACAAACTACTCCAAACATTCACAGAGGTAAGACATCTTTGGAATGCCATTTAGAGTAGCTAATTACATACATTCTAAATGTATTTAGCAGACAACAATAGGTAAAGGATATTTAAATTCTAACTTATTCTAACATACTAAAGGCATTAAGTAAAATATTAAGTGAATTGAATATTGAATAAGCAGTTCTTTTTTTTTTTTATATTTCATTTATTTTTTTAACCTCACCCGAAGACATTTTTGCATTTATCTTCAGATACAGTGAGGGGGGGGGGTAGAGAGAGAGAGAAACATCAATGTGAGAGAGACACATTGACTGGCTGCCACCCACATGACCCAACTGGGGCCGGGGACAAACTGTAATCGAGGTACATGCCCTTAGCGAGAACCGAACCCAGGTCTCTCTGGTCCGCGGCCAACGCTCTCACCGCTGAGCCAAACCGGCCTGGGCGAGTAAGCAGTTCTTATTACAAGTTATAAAACACAATCTCTAATGGAAATAGTGTCACAGAAGTTGTTGGGATTTCGATTTTTTTATTTATTAGATAGAAGAAAGCTATGCACTTTTGTTTGAATACTCATTTCCCAGTGCTGTAGATCAGTGGACCACAACATGCATCAAAATACTTTGGAAATTTTTTAAAAAATATGTTTTTATTGATTTTTTTTTTTTTTAAGAGAAAGAGGAAAAGAGAAAGATACAGAAACATTGATGTGAGAGAGCAACTTCGATCAGCTGCCTCTTACATGCCCCCTACCGGGGATCGAGCCTGCTCCCCAGGCATAGGCCCTGACTGGAAATCGAACCAGGACCTCTTAGTCCATGGAACGACTCTCAGTCCACACTGAGCCACACCAGCTGGGCTATACTTTGGAAATTTTTTTAAACATGCAGGTGCCAAGCCCCTCGCAAACCTTATTGACTCAAATATCTGGGAGTGGCATTCAGAAATGTTCTTGTTTTACTTTTCATTCTGAAATAATTTCGAACTTACAAAAAAAGTTGCAAGAGTAGTACATAGAATTCCCATATATATTCTTTACCCAGACTCCCCAATTTTAACATTTTATCACATTTGCTTTATTGTTTTCCCTTGTTCTTACCTACCTGTCCATCGACTTGTCTTTCACATTTTTTTGTGAACTCTTGAGTATGTTGGCAGATGTGACTCCCTTTTACCCCTAAATACTTCTCTATATATTTCCTAAAGAAGAAGGATATCTTATGTAACTAGTAAAATTAATCAGGAAATTAATATTAAGTAATATGATTATCTAACCTGTAGATCTAATTTAGACTTTACCCGTTACCTGTCCCCCCCCCTTTTTTTTATCCTTACCTGAGGACATTTCTGCTTCTATCTTGAGATAGAGCGGGAGGGAGAGAAGGAGAAACTTCGATGTGAGAGACACATTGACTGGTTGCCACCCACACCCAACCTGGGGCCGGGAACAAACCGCAACTGAGGTACGTATGTGCCCTTAGCGGAAACCGAACCCAGGACTCTGGTCCATGGGCCAACGCTGTAACCACTGAGCCAAACTGGCCAGTGGCTACCTGCCCCAGTTTTAACAAGTCTTTTCATATTATTCTTATGCAGTCATCCTAGTCCTGGTGCTCTTTCACCCCTTTTAAATCAACTGTGTATGTTTTGTCCCTGGTAATAATCTATGTCTACAGTCTTCTGATTTTAAATCTAGAAAATTCTGGGAGGTTTATATGACAGAAATAGCTCAAAAAACTGTGTCACAATTACTAGATACATTTATTGATAATATATGTATATCATTCTCTTTTTTTCTCTGAGTTGTTGAATTTGCCAGTTTTCTCTCAGTGAATTTTCAGTCACATAATGAAAGGATTAGATGATGCTAAACTTAGTCACAGTTAGTAAGGAAAGAACTAACTTGCTTAAGAGACTATCCCATGGGGTAAAAGAAGCATATTTTTAAATAAATTAATAAGAAATACATGATAATTCTGGAAGAAAGAATTGATTTAAGGGATGAAATGATATTTTGGTTTAAGATGACCAAAACATTGGCAGTTGCATTTTTATGGCAAGCATGACTTCTATAATTATTAATAGGAAGGAATAGACTGGGAAGTTAGTGTGTTACAGCTTGAATATTGTACTTGAATTGTGTTGGGAAACAAATATTCTTTCTCAGCACAGAACTGACCCCTGAACCACATCTTTGGTGAAACAAACATAGTGAACAAGATGGAAAGTTCAGGATACCCATGGGCTTAGCAGTCTTTGATTTAAGATTATTGTGAATAAAAATTTAGGATTGATTGAGATAAAAATAATAATGAATGTCAAGTTTTAAGGTCCTTTCATTAATTAGAAATGTAGAGATGGGAAGTAGCATAAAAATTTAATGTTAAAATTTAGTGTCCTTTATCAGATAATGCTATGCCCATTATATGTTGCCCACTGAATATTTTAAAATATTGAATTGTTATTTAGTAAGTTATTTATTCCTGGATCCTGATTTTTTTCATTTGCCACATTAGCAAAAGGTTCATGAAGGTGAGTGGTGAAGAAGAAGAATCTCTGCCTCAGAACTGACAATACATTAATATTTGTAAAGCACGTAGTGCCTAGCACATAAGTGCTGCGTAATGTGTGGTAAAGAACTGCTGGCATACTTGTAGCACTGCTGTTTGAGAGCTGAGGACAAAATATTATATGGTGGTTACAAATTTATCTCAGAACAAAATACATTTTTCCATCCCTATGTATTTATTAAGTTCATCATTAATGAAAATAGGCAGAACAGGAAGAATAATTACTTTTTCTCTTCCTGCCCCAAAAGATAGAGAAGGGTAATACTTACTTACACAGTTGGAGAGAACTCATAACCCCGTTCATAGTCAGACTGCTGAAGGTCAAATCCTGTTAATGTCTCTTATCATCTGTGTGACCTTGCATGAGTTACCCAGAAAATACCTCAGTTATAAAATATGAATAATTATGGTATCTGTTTCATAAGGTAGTTGTGAAAAGTAAGTGAACTAGTAGATGAAAAGTTTTTAGAAAGTTCCAGTGCATAATAAATGCTCAGTAAATATTAACTTACTACTAATAGTATAATAGTATTGGAATTTTCTTTTTTTCAATTTGATAAGCATGAAACTGTCCTGGGCAGTTACACTTTTATCAGCAAGGAAATCTAGAGAGAGTAATTTTATATAAGTTCATGAATAAGTTATGATACAGCCAAGACCAACAATCTTGTTTTTTAAACTCATAGTTAAAATTTTTTTCTATTCTTTTAGCTTTTATTTTTACCTAAGTTGATATTTTTCTCCAAGATAATATTTTTATGAAAATCACTTGATTTTTTATTCTGCTTTAACATATGCTCAGATCTATTATTAAATACTTTCCATTGGCCATACAATTTCTTGTACTATCTCTTTCCGTCATCTACCAACCTTCTTAAAAAAAGAGCAATCTATAACCATTGTTTTCATCTCTTCCTTCACTTCTACCTCCACACTCTATTAGAATAATTCTGTTATCATTTGCTTTCTAATGATCACACCCACTCTTTTATCATTCTTTCTCCCTCTTCTTTCTCAGCATTCTTTCAGCACTTGATGTTGTCCACCCTTTCCTGAAACTGCTCTCTTGGCTTATATTGCTGTTGAATATTTCTGATTCTTCCCTTATCTTGTTGGTTTCTCTTTTTCTTTTTGCTTGTTTGCACCTTTCATCCTTCAGGGTTTTTGTTTTGTTTTGTTTTACCTTTTTTGCTATATTATTTTCTAAGAATCTTATCTACTTGTAATGCTTGACTCCTTTTCCCTTATCTACAACAGCCTTCATTTTTTGGCTTTACTAAAGGTGGTCATAAAATCCAGAAACATGGATAAACATACATTAGTTTATTGCTACTATATTATAATACACGGTATGTCAATGTGTTGTCCTTCATCAGCAATGCATAGTATTGTAATGTAATGTATTGTTTAAAATTGCAGCCCAGTCAGTGTGGCTCAGTGGATTGAGTGTTGTCCCATGGATTGAGAGGTCCCAGTTCGATTCCCAGTCAGGGCACATGTCCGGGCTTCTGACTCGATCCCCAGTAGGGGGCATGCAGGAGCCAGATGATTGATGTTCCTCACATTGATTTTTCTATCTCTCCCTTCCTCTCTCTTAAAAAAATCAATAAAAACATACTTTAAAAAATAATAATAATAAAATAAAATTGCAGTGAATGTGGCACATGAGACATTTCCATCAATGCCTGCACATGTTTCTGAGAGGTGTTAGTTGGAAGTATTTGTGTCCCACTTTCACTGAATAAAGCTGTCTTTACATTTCTTTAGAGAAGTAATCAAGGAGGTTCGAACTATTTAAAACACACTTGTAGACTTTATAGACACCCCAAATTTCTCTTATTTGTACCATCATTTTTCTAGGCATCTAGTTTTTAAAAAAATCTTAGGGTCCTTGAATCTAGTCTTTGACAAGTCTTTAAAAATATTTCTTGCATACTTTAAAAAATTTTTTTTTATTCTACTGCCTTTTCCTACCTAATTCAAGTTTTTAGAATTTCTCTCCTGGATTATTTCAGTAGCCTTCTAACCAATTTCTTCCTTTCTTTCTTTCTTTCTTTCTTTCTTTCTTTCTTTCTTTCTTTCTTTCTTTCTTTCTTTCTTTCAAGATTAGTTTATTGATTTTTAGACAAAGAGGAAGGGAGAAGAGAGAAACATCGATGTGAGAGCATAGCATCAATCAGCTGCCTCCTGCACATCCCCACCAGGGATTGAGCCCGCAACCCAAGCATGTGTTCTGACCGGGAATTGAACCAGCAACTTCTCAGTGCATGGGATGACACCTGACCAACTAAGCCACACCGGCCAGGGCCTAACCAGTTTCTTGCCTCCACTTTCTTCTGTTCCAGTTTGTCTTAGAGTGTAGTTCTGAATATATATTTTCTTGAGAACCCTTCAGTGGTTCACCATTGCCCATAGACTAAGGCTTATATTCTATCCTGTTTTTTGTTTGTTTTTTACAGCCCTTTGAATCTCATTTTTTTTACTGGATTATAAAGAGCTTGGAGGCTTGAGTATACCTATTTATCATTGTGTCCTTTCTCTAGTTCAATACCATATGTATAGAAGAGTTCAAACAGTATTTTGAAATTGATATAGCATGTTAGCTAAGAAAGGTCACTATAGTAAATAGATTGGAAATATTGTTTGATATAATGGAAAAGGAAACCTTTTTGTTTAGCTCTGATACTTCTCTGGGGATATTCTGTAAGGAATCAAGGACAGAGAATAGTCAGCACTTCCCAGAAAGCTAGAACATTTGGACGCCCTGTTGGCATTCCTTTTCTCTCACTTACTGGTGCAGGACTAGCTGCATTTCATGTAATATCTGTTTCCCCAGGTCAAGGCAAAACGTAATCAAAGTCCTTCAGAAAATACAGCAGGTAAAAAGCAAGAAGATACTTCTCCAATGAAGTCTGACAACCAAGAAATCACCATTTTCTCAGGCTCTCATCTTCCCCAACCCAACAAGCATCAAGAAATCTGGTCTGTCTTAGAGAGTGTTTGGATTACAATATATGAGAACAGGTACTAAATTTCTAAGAATTTTTGAATTTTAGGGTTTTCCATCATTAATGTTATTCATTGAATGATTAGTGTTTGGGTTGTGAGTTCAATGTACTAGGTTATCTTATTGAGGGTCTTTTGTCAAATTGGTACCTTAGAAACAGTGATGCTTAAATAGGGGTACATATCAGAATTACCTGGAGAGTTTAAAAAATATATATGCCTGGGATGTATCCATAGAAATTCTGATTCAGTAGAACTGAGGCGAAGCTGAGATAGTGCATAAAAATAAAAATAAAAAGTCTCTCTAGGTGGTTCAGAATGAAACCTTGGTGAGAAGCATTGCCTATATATGTGAAACTAAAGAACAGTCACCTAGATTGGCTGAACAAATTAGTGGTATACAAAGCTTTAAATTTTTAATAATTTAAGAAGTCCATTTGAGTTAGGGAAAATTCATGTAAGATTTTCTTTAGAAGGAAGATGCTTTTACTTCAAAGGAAGAAACTCTTTTATTGCTTTCACACACATACTATTGGATTGGTAAAATGAAAAGATAGAGGCCATTTGTGAGTAGTTCTTTAAATAGGCTGCCGCTAGAGTAACTTAAAAAATAATTTAAAGCCACTGATTTTAAACTAGGCCAACACTCCCTCTCATACTTTTCCATAAGCTCATAATATTGATATAATTATGTTGCCAGTCATACTATATGCTTTATAGTATGATTTTGCGTAAAGGGACCAGTATGACTGTTGTTTTGGATTAAGATCATCTATCTGTTGTAAATGTTTACAAGACCAGCAAAGTAAATATTAGCAGTCCATTTAAACATCTATTCTCTATTATTCATCTATTAGAATACTAGATTTGGGGCCCATTTTTAGTCTTTGACTATAATTAAATTGTCTTTTCAAAAGATTTTATAGTCTGTCATACTAAGAAATATCATCTATAATACCTAACATGTGAGCTAAAGAAAAGAATATTTAAAATTTTGCATTTTTGAAAGTGGGCAAAGGGGGAGAAAATGGGGACATCTGCAATAGTGTCAACAATAAAAATAAAGTACCTGAGTCACTGTAGAACTTTTCAACATATTTATGCTTGACTCTTGCATGTAGAGATGCTCATTTGAAGCTCTGGTAGGCCCCATGCATAATTACTGACCTGAAACTGCTTGGGCATTTAGCACATGGTAAATGCCATCCCTTGCCCTGCCTTCTCGTGATTTAGTAATCATTGGTGAGCTCATAGCAGGGTTTTGTGGCTCTTCTGTTTGTGAGGAATTTGAGCAAGTGTTAGATAGTTTTAATGATTAATACCTTATGGATATTAATAATGCTTATCTCTAGTGGTGGACTATGGGTATTACATATTTCATTCTTTCAGCGTTCCTGAATTTTTCATATTTTATATGATGACTAGGCTTTAAATGTATAAAAAATTTAAAATAAATGTGTTTTAAATAAAATAAGTTCATGGTTTTTATTTTATTTATTTATTTATTTATTTATCCTCACCTGAGGACATTTTTCCATTTTTTTGTTCAGATAGAGTGGGAGGGGGAGAGAGAGAACCATCTACGTGAAAGGGACACATCGAGTGGCTGCCACCCGCACGACCCAACCAGGGCCGGGGACAAATTGCAACCAAGGTACATACCCTTAGTGGGAACCGAACCGGGGGTCTCTCTGGACCGCAGGCTAACGCTCTAACCACTGAGCAAACCAGGCCAGGGCTATGGTTTTTATTTTTAAAATAATAAATGCACAAAACCAATTGTATTTCTATACATTAGTAATGAACAATCCAAAGAGAAAATAAAGAAAACAATTCTACTTACATTATAAAAAAGAATAAAATACTTAGGAATAAAATTAACCAAGAAGGTATAAGATTTTTACACTGAAAACTATAAAACATTTCTGAAAGAAATTCACAAATAAATGGAAAAATCCAGAGTTCATGGATTGGAAGACTTGTTAATAAGTAAGTTGGAGGACTCATACTTCAAAGCTACAGAATTTTAAAACAGTGTGCTACTAGCATAAATATCGATATGTAAATCAGTGTAATAGAATTGAAAGTATAGAAATAAACACATTTCTGGTCACTTGATTTCAACAAGGATACCAATACCATTCGATTGGTAAAGAATGGTATCTTTAACAAATAATGCCGGGACAACTCAATAGCTATATGCAAAATAGTGAAGTTGGACCCTGACCTAATGCTACATACAGAAATCAACTCAAAATGGATAGATGGCCTAAGTATAAGAGCTAGAACTATAAAACTTTTAGAAGAAAACAATTTAAACAGATCAGCTTTAAGAGATGTTATAAGCCCTGGCCAGTTTGGCTCAGCGGTTAGAGCGTCGGCCTGCGGTCCCGAGAGACCCGGGTTCGGTTCCCGCTAAGGGCACGTACCTCGGTTGCAGTTTGTCCCTGGCCCTGGTTGGTCGTGCGGGTGGCAGCCACTCGATGTGTCCCTTCATGTCGATGTTTCTTTCTCTCTCTCTTCCTCTCTCTCCCTCCCACTCTATCTGAACAAAAAATATCCTCGGGTGAGGATAAAAAAAAAAAAAGAGATGTTATAAATGTTATTTTGTACATTAGAAATGGAAATACGTGAATTACAGTAAATGTGCATGTGTACCTACGGGTATCTTTTCTTTTTCTCTGTTTCAGCACAGACGTGTTTCAAAGGTTGGCCTCAAATTCAGCTCAGACTTCCTCAAAAATACAGTCATTTGAAGAAGCATTTATATATCTTCAAAAGTTAATGGGAGCTGTGAAGAATATTCTTGAAGGAATTCAGAGGTAAATATGAATTAATTTTAAAGTTTTATTACTTTTCTCTCTTCTAGGCTTACCAGCTTTTTCAGAGTTACTGGTAGTGTTCCAGCAAGTTTTATAAACTAATATAGTATATATAGCTGGTGGGGCACAAGTAGGTTTGCAGTTGTGAGTATGTAAAACACAGCGTTTATTCTTGTGTTATGATGTCTTAATTATTGTATTGTTTTCCATAGACACAACTGTAAACCTACTTTTGCCCTACCCTGTATATATAACGACATACATAAAAAATATATAAAACAACATAGTCTCATGATGTTTTGAGACTTACACATATGTAATCGTTTTAAATATGTGTGTATAGAAAACATAGCGCGAGAAAGCTATAGTATGGACCAAGACCTTTATAGCATGAGGTCAATTGTTTTCTTTTGTGGCAGTAAAGGAGAATACTAAACTTAATCTTGCAATTTTGGGGGGATATACCAAAATTGCTTGACCTGAATTAGCTTGCTAACAGAAGGATACTGTTCTTTGTAAATTCACAAAACAAAAACAAAACTGATTTAAATATGTCCAAGTTTGAAAAACTTGGATTTTCAAAACAATAGTAGTTTGGAGTTTGTTTGTTTTTCTCTTTAAAGGTTTTTGGAAACTTTATTTCACTGTTAATGTGCAAAGCATTTGTACCTCTTTTTGGATCACAGTTGGCTAAAGGATGCTTACAATAAAAAATTACTAAAACTTTTTGCCCCCTTTAAATTACTAATGAATTGAATATGTGGCAGATCCCAGGGCAAGTTAAATATCATCTCTAAGTGCAAATAGTCCCTTTCTTATTTTAAGCAATGTTAAATAAGAGTAGCTCTCTGAGGGAGATGTATTCAATTCTGATTTTGCTATGTAAAAGCTATTGCACATTCTAGGTTGCATAAAAGCCATGCTTGACACCACCTTTTCTGCAGATAGTAGGGATATCAATCTGTATTCAGTTTCTCAACAAATTATTGAGCACCAGCTATGCTTGGCATCATACTAGGTTCTGGGGAAACAAAGATAAATAAAATGCAATCTCTTACTCCAACGAGCTTGTAGAAATAGTACAAACAATCATATTAAAACAAATAATTGCAATAAAGAGTTATTAATACTTTAACAGGGACATATGCAGGGAAGAAGGGTTTGGCAAAAGATGAGGCTAGATCGAGGTTGGAAGGGAATGTCTTGTAGGCTCCTCAAAGCGGTTTCCACTTTATCCTGTAGGCTGCTATTTCACACATTCAAGGCCATTAATTATGTGCCTTGACAGAAGTGTTTCTGGCTCAAAAAGCTGTGGAAATATTGCATACTATACTACCCTCTTGGATATTTGTTAACATATTAATTGGTTTTATAAACCTTTTCTATACAAACCTTTTTAATTTTAGGAGTTTTAAACACATTGATGCTTGGGTTCCCTACCCCAGAGATTCTGATGTAATTGGTCTGAGGGTATACCTGACTACTATCAGAATTTTAAAAATTTATCCAGGCAATTCTAATGTGTAGGCAAGATTGAGAACCACTAACCAATATGCTTAACCAGTGGTTCTCAAAGTGTGGTCACAGAACGGGCATCACCATCACCACCTGGAACTTGTTCAAAATATAACTCTGAAACTCTACAAGACCTACTGAGTCAGAAGCTCTGAGGCTGGGGTCCAGTGGTCTGTGTCCTCCAGGTAGTTCTGTGCACTCAGAGACCTAGCACTGCTGGCCTAAGTGGTGCTCAGCCCTGGTGGTCGATTATAATCATTGGAAGCTTTAAAAAAGGAACAGTGTTGCCCTGGCCGGTTTGGCTCAGCTGTTGGAGCATTGGCCTGTGGACCAGAAAGTCCCGGGTTCGGTTCCCGCTAGGGGCATGTACCAAAAAAAAAAAAAAAAAAAAGGAACAATGGCAAAGCCCTACCCTAAGCCTGTTAAATCTGACTCTCTGGGAGTGAGACCTGAGCATAAGCGTTTTTTACAAATTCCCCAGGTGATTTTCATGGGGAGCCAGGGTTGAGAAGGTATAGTATGCACTCCCTATGTAGCTCTATCTAAAGAATTAATACTTGGATTTTAAGGCTCATAACGGTGTTCTTATTCTTTCCTTTAAGGACACATACCTCCAGAAATAAGAAAATACTAGTGGCTCTGCTGCTTTTTAACATGTGACGTGGGGTAAATTGGTATAAGCCTCAGTCTTTATCTATAAAAAGGTATAATGATGCCTTTACAGAGTTTTTCAGAAAGTTGTTGTCCTTTGAAGTCAGATGTTGCTATAACTAACCAAACCAGTGATTCTCCACTTATTTGTTGGGGAACTTGTTAAAAACGCAGAATTCTGGATCTTACCCCAGACTTACTGAAATCACAGTATCTGTAGATATTTCGTAAAGGAAGGAAGTTGTATTTTTAACAAGCTATCCAGGGGATTTATGTGCAGGTGGTGGGAGACCACACCTTAAAGAAACTAATCCAATCTCCTAGAGTAAGTATAGTAGATCCTCTCTAACTACCAGTAGAGGGCATTATTAATAAAAAGTTTGCTAATTTCACTATTCATTAGTCAATAGGAAACTACTAAAATTGCAATTTTCCCTCGTTTAGACAAGTCACAATTAATAGAAGTTAATAATTACATTATTTTGTTAACTGTATATGTGGTCTTAAATTTTTTAAAGAAAGAGTCATGTCAAGTCAAAATGAGTTCTGTTAAAAATTATTTTTGGCTGACTATGGGGTGATTTTTAAGTTTTTAAACATTGAAAAAATACACTCAGCTTTGTAGTGATTGCAAACTCATTAGCATTTTTATGCTTGTTAAAATGGAATAGTTTTGTTTGGTTTGAGGATATAGGTTTGGTGAATATATGTCAACTCCATTTCTTTTTATCACAGCAAGTCATATATGTTGCTACATTGAGAATCAATAATAAGGTGACCTGTTAACCAAGTCCTTCAATTAAAGGAGTGAGTGAAAATGTTATTTGTTAAACTAAGAGCTTGGGCTTTTAGTTCCAAATTTATCCCTTCATAGCTAACTTTGGGCATGTCATCTACACTCTCAAAGCCGCAATTTCTTTCCTTATTAAATGTGAATCCTTATGCCTTCTGCAGAGGAATAAATGAGATGATGTATGTGAAAATACTTCTTAAACTGTAATAGATTTACAAATGTTAGTCTTCACTTTCTCCTTAATGGATATGTCAAATTTGAAATGTATAAAATCTGTATTTCAATTTTAGTAAGGCTCTAAACACAGTTGTGGCAAGTTAAGATTGCACTTGTCCATATAGTTACACACTTGGGAGCAGAATACTGAATTTTGCAAAACTTAAAAAGGGGTGGGGATATTGCTGATAGCTATTCTTCCTGCACACTTTCTTCTTGACCGGGAGAGGGAATTTAACTTATTTGCTATTGATTTAGTAATTGCTTCTCTCTTTTTCATCTTTCCTTTTATGTGTATAATTTGAGCACTTTTTGTTGATGGTTTCTTTATATAAACACTGTAGAACTAGAGTCAGTACTCTTTCCATGTAAACAAAAGTATTTTAAGATTTTTTTTTTAGGTCATTACTACCTAGATTCATTTTGTACTTTAGTAAACTTGTATCTAGATCAGGGTAATTTCAAGATCACAAAAACCTTTTGCTTAGTGTATAAAGATTATAAAGGTTTCACTGAAGAGTCTTGTGGCAAATTCTAAAAATATGAAAAGTTTGACTTGCACATTAATTAAAAAACATTAAAAATCTGTGTGTATTATGTGCTTACACTGGCATCTCTACAAAATTAACTAAACAGTTAATGTAATCCAACTCTGAGGCATACTATGAACGTATGCAGCTTTAACTTGAAAGCTTATACTCAAAACAATGAGAGTATTATATGTTTTTGTGTCAGTGAAGTAGATGATGAGCTGCCTGGTTTAGGAGAGGTGACCTGTGTTGGACATGATCAGATTCTGCATGGGCATTGATGCCTGATCATAGGATATGATTTTGGAAAATGAGACTTCTGCTTGGATTTAGGAAAGAAAGATGATTAGTTTTTATCATCTTCAAATGCTTTAATAGTCTTCAAAACTATAGTAAACTTTGTTACACTGCTGTGGCTTTGGTTTGAAACACTTTATAGAGCTGTTTTGTGAAACATTATATACCATGCAGTTTGGAATTTTGTGTGTGTTTGTCATTACATATATTTTGCTTTTTAAGCCTCTAAAAATGAATTTTCTTATTACTCTCTTATCCCATCTTAACATGGGAACAAAACTGGTGTAATCATACATGATTTCTGGGAAAAGGAAATCACAGCAGCTTTTCAGACTCACTAATGATTTAGCTGCTTCAAAGCATGTGACATTTGCATTGGAGAGAATATTTTATTAACTTAATATATAAATTCCCTGCTATTAAGTCTTATGTTAAGAAATGATAAAACCACCAAAAACTAAGTTCTTTGGTGAAGCAGATGGGATAAATGACTGAGTAAATCAGTGAGGTTAAACATCAGTAAAATAAATGAAACGGGGTCAGGAGGAGGATCAATTAAAGGTGTGGAATAAGGGCTACCATAATAATTTTAACTGACACAGTAAGTATATAGTAAATATGTAGGATAAAGCCAGTTGATCAGTTTAATTCCTTCCTAAGTTGTACAAAGGGTATAAAGTTAGAGTGTACCGTAGACTCTAGGATTGGTCTCATCTATTTGGAGAAACATCCTCTTGTACCTCTAAAGAACTTTTAACACCATGATAGGCCAGTCATCCGCCCATAGTGAAAAGTGATGCAAACACCGTCCTCAAGGCTGTGTTTCAGTAATACAGAAGCTTGAGTCCAGCTCAGAACAGTGCTGTCCTAGATCATGCTGTATATTGGTATTTTCCCCTTAGAATATGTAGATCCAAGAAACCACTCTTGGTATTTCAATCAGAAAATTTAATGTATAGTGTAAATATTTAATTTCAGTGCTGTTGGAAGGACTGGAG